CTACACACACACACACACACACACACCTGCACTCCTGCACCAGGTTAGAATTTGCAATATAATGGCACTTTTTTCCCTCTGAGTCAGTTACAGAATTGTAAGACATCATCTGTGAACGTGGGAAGACACAGACTACAAGTGGCACAGGCCAGCGACTTGAGAGATTTGATACCTGCGGCACCAGCGCCTCCAGTCACGCTCGTGGCCCTTGTCATCACGCACACCATTCCTTCTGAAATAAACACGATCCTTTCTGATTTCTTCCGCCACCCCCTTTAAAGCACCGTATAAAGGGCAATCTACAGGATGGGCGTGGTTTCTTTCACTCAGTGTTACTGAAATGTGTGCATTGGTGGCTTTTATAAACAGGTTATACCTTTCTACTTCTCAGTAGTATTCCATTATTTGAATATGCAATGCTTAAATGAGCATAAATGGGTAAAAGTGAGCTGTCCCCATTTGGGGCTATTCTGAATACTCCCGCTCTGTGGGTCTTGTACAAACCCTTTTATAGATATAGCTCCATTTCCAACAGACATGGATAACCCGGGGCCGGCGCTGTGGCTCACTAGGTTAATCCTCTGCCTGCGGCGCCGGCATCCCACATGGGTGCTGGGTACTAGTCCCGGTTGCTCCTCTTCCAGTCCAACTCTCTGCTGTGGCCCAGGAAGGCAGTGGAAGATGGCCCAAGTTCTTGGGCCCCTGTACCCGCATGGGAGACCAGGAGGAGGGACCTGGCTCCTGGCTTCGGGTTGGCGCAGCCTGCCGACCATGGTGGCCATTTGGGGGGTGAACCAATGGAAGGAAGACCTTTCTCTCTGTCTCTCTCTCTCAGTGTCTAGCTCTGTCAAATAAAAATAATAAAAAAAAAAGTAGGATAACCCAAAAAATACATGTTGGACTTTTTTTTTTTTTTTTTTTTTGACAGGCGGAGTGGACAGTGAGAGAGAGAGACAGAGAGAAAAGTCTTCCTTTGCCGTTGGTTCACCCTCCAATGGCCGCCGCGGCCGGCGCACTGCAGCCAGCGCAGCGCGCCGATCCGATGGCAGGAGCCAGGTGCTTCTCCTGGTCTCCCATGGGGTGCAGGGCCCAAGCACTTGGGCCATCCTCCACTGCACTCCCTGGCCACAGCAGAGAACTGGCCTGGAAGAGGGGCAACCGGGACAGAATCCGGCGCCCCGACCGGGACTAGAACCCGGTGTGCCGGCACCGCAAGGCGGAGGATTAGCCTACTGAGCCGCGGCGCCGGCTGAACTTTTTTTTTTTTTAAACCTGCCAAAGGCATCTCCAAATTGATGCCATTTTATACTTTCTCCAACAAAGTGTAAGATACGGATTGTTCTAGTGCCTCATTAACATTTGGTGTTACCGGTTATCAGTTACGTAGTGACAATGAACTCATTGTTGCCAAGGACAAGTGTCTCTGGTGGCTGATGGTGGTGAGCATCTTCTCATGTTCTTATTGGCCATTCCTATATTTTCCTTAAGAACCTGTCTACGTGTTTGAAAAATAAGTGTATTTTTAAAAAAATTATTGGTTTGTAGGAGTGTTCATGTATTCTGGATCTGCCTTGTTTGCTAGATATATAGAAGTATTACAGTCTGGCTTGTTTGTCTGTCCCTGGGTCTTTATTACTGTAGCTGTGTAATTTCTGAAAACAGTTAGTGTAGGTCCTTTAATTTCAGCCCTCATTTTAAAGACTGGCTTGACTGTTCTAGGTCTTTTGATTTCCATACAAGATTGAAACACTTTTTGTTGTGTGGCGAAGACTCCCGATGCACTGTTGAATGGAGCTGGTGTATTTGCTAGAACTGCAGTAGCCAGACTGGGTGTCTTCCACAGCAGGGACTTTTTACCCCCTGTCCTGGAGGGTAGAAACCGGAGAGCAGGCCCCTAGAAGCCTGCATAGATGTTTCGCTAAGCAAAAAATACAGAAATGAATTTTGAACCTTGTGGCTAATCCCAAATCTGTGGTTCCTCACTCCGTGTGTACAAGGGAATTGGGAGATCTCCTAAGGTGTGGGAGGGAAGATGCCAAAAGCAGCGAGTTTTGAAGCAATAGCTGCAGTTGCCAACTAAATGGGAACGTTTCTGTGTACATTGTTTAAAAGACTTATTAATTTATTTGAAGGTCAGAGTTACACAGAGAGAGAAGGGGCAGAAAGAGAGAGAAAGGTCTTCCATTCAATGGTTCACTTCCCAATCGGCTGCAATGGCTGGAGCTGCGTCAATCCAAAGCCAGGAGCCAGGAGCTTCTTCTGGGTCTCCTACGCTGATGCAGGGGCCCAAGGACTTGGGCCATCTTCTACTGCTTTCCCAGGCCACAGCAGGGAGCTGGATTGAAAGTGGAGCAGCTGGGTCTTGAACTGGTGCCCTGATGGGATGTCGGCGCTTCAGGCCAGGGCATTAACCTGCTGAGCCACAGCACTGGCCCCTCTGTGTACATTTGTACAACAGGATTGGCATTCTTACCTCAGCATTTTCGAAGATACTTAGATTCTAATTATTACTAGTGATAGTATCATTACAAGGACAAAATGCATGTTCTTAATTTCACAGAAAACCGTTACTAATTTTTTTTTTAGCCCTTAACACCTAAAGCTAGATCAGTTTGAGACACGCAGTAACGGGTGAATTATGCACCTTGGAGAAAGCTCCTCTAAGTCACACCATAGCAGGGCACGCTTAATGACAGTGCAGAGATGTGGCCGCAAGTTTATCCCTCCGTGTTTATCTCAGTACATTTGTCACGTGAACTGGATCATGGAGAGGATTTTCCCACTGCTTGAAAGAGTAAACCATTTTTAAACACCAGAGTGTCACTTAGCTTTCATTTAGTGATTCTGCTTTTTATAAATTATTGGGTGCTTTTTTCCCAAGATTTATTTATTTATTTGAAAGTCAGAGTTACAGAGAGGCAGAGGCAGAGAGAGAGAAAGAGAGAGAGAGAGGTCTTCCATCCGCTGGTTCACTCCCCAAATGGCCCCAACGGCCGGAGCTACACTGATCCGAAGCCAGGAGCCAGGAGCTTCTTCCAGGTCTCCCACGCGGGTGCAGGGGCCCAAGGACTTGGGTCATCTTCTGCTTTCCTAGGCCATAGCAGGGAGCTGGATTGGAGCAGCAGGGACTCGAACCAGTGCCCATATGGGATGCCAGCACTGCAGGCAGTGGCTTTACCTGCTACGTCACAGCACCAGCCCCCTAAAAATTATTGTTTAATTATTACAGCAGATCCTTTATTTAAAGGCCTCTACAAGGAAACTTAACCTTCAGCCAGCCAAGTAACTGTAGTTACAGTACTACATTGCTTTTCAAATATTACCGACTTACGGGTTTTTCACAAAGCACATGCTTTTCTCATGACTCCTCCTCCCCTGTCTCCCCCCATCTCACCATGTGGATTCTTTACCCAATATTCTTTGTTGCTGTTTAGTTTCTCTCTTGTGCTAAGCAAAGACAGTGGCTAGAATTTTGGTTGTGGAGGTCTGAAGCTTGTCTATTTCTACCATGAATTCATATTCCAAATGGGAGAATGGCTGTGTCCTGGCTTTTTCAAGGACTGCCATGACTGATTAAGCAATGAAGGATCAAGTTTTTTTTTTTTTTTTAAAGATTTGTTTGTTTATTTGAAAGGCAGAGTTACACACACACACACAGAGAAACAGAGCGAGAGGTCGTCCATCTGCTGGTTCACTCCTCAAATGGCCACAATGGCCAGAGCTGAGATGATCCAAAGCCAGGAGCTGGGAGCTTCTTCCAGATCTCCCACGCAGGTGCAGGGGCCCAAGCACTTGGGCCATTTTCCACTGCTTTCCCAGGCCATAAGCAGAGAGCTGGATGGAAAGTGGAGCAGCCAGGACACGAACTGGTACCCCTATGGGATGCTGGCCCCGCAGGCAGAGGCTTAGCCTGCTACGCCACAGTGCCGACCCCAAGTTGTTCTGACACCTATGAGAGGACAAGTGACGACGAGAGTCATTCCTCCCCTTTCTCCTGCCTGAATCTTTCTGGAGTGCCTCTGAGGTCCCCTAGCATTTGCCAGGCCGCCTCAGAGGATTAAGGAGTTGAGAGTCTCTCCGGAGGCAGCCTCATTCCCTCTGGGGCAGCTTGAAGTGCTGGAGAAAACTTTTCTGATGCAAACCCAGCCTGCTTCTCCCAGGCTTCCACCAGGCTTGGCAGCGTGGGCTAGAGCTCCCCAGGCCCCTGTGCCCCTGTGCGGGCTGTCAGGGGCTGCGCCTCTGAGCCTGCAACCCGACAAAGGCAGAAGGGCCACCCTGCTGCCTGTTCTGCTGTAGAACTGGGACCCCTTGCAAAGGAAGAAGCAGACAGCCAAGGGTCCAGCTTGTGGCACAGTGTCCCCCTTCTGCTGGAGGTCATCTGATTGCTACCAGGGACCTGCCCACAAAGCCGCTCACTTGCTACCTAAAGACATGGGAGACTGAGACACACCTGTATGACTTGACATGAGCGTGCTTACCTGGGGAGCGGAATACGGAGCTGGGGCCAGTGCGCATGCCTTCCTGGGAAGAACACAGAGGAATTTGAGGCCTCATCCTGCCTCTGTGTTAGCCAGCAGGATCCTGTGGCTGTGTCCCACCATTCGCTCAATGCAACTACAAGTAGCCGTACAAGTTCAAGGGGAAGGTGGATGAGGCTCGAGCCTGCCTTTTCTGAGAGCTTTTTGTCAGGTTGCCTGGGGGTGCCTACATGTGCTTGTCCCCGGGGTGCATACATGTGCTTGTCCCGTACCCACAGGAGTGGCTCCAGGAGCAATGGGAGGCGGCTCTGCGTGAGTCTAGGCTGTGTTGGGAGTGAGCCTGCTGGCGCCAATCAGAAGCACCTGCGCACACGGGGGAGGTGGCAAGGAAAAATTTGCCTTCTGAATCGGTGCAGAATGATGTTTCATTGGCAATGGGGACTGGAGGAGCTGGGTGTCCTGATGCTTCTGCTTCCGCCTTCTCCCCGCTAACGTGAATTCTCCCCCCGTCTCTTCCTGCAGAGAGCCCGGCAGGCATGATGAGCATCAAGGCCTTCACCCTGGTGTCTGCCGTGCAGCGCGAGCTGCTGATGGGCGACAAGGAGCACATCCACATCGCGTGCGTCGAGTGCTGCGGCAAGAACCTATACGTGGGCACCAACGACTGCCTCATTTACCACTTCCTGCTGGAGGAGAGGGTGCTGCCCGCCGGGCCGGCCACGTTCACCGCCACCAAGCAGCTGCACAGACACCTGGGCTTCAAGAAGCCCGTGAACGAGCTGCGGGCAGCCTCGGCCCTCAACAGGCTGCTGGTGCTGTGTGACAGCTGCATCACCCTGGTGCACATGCTGAGCCTGGAGCCTGTGCCCTCGGGGGCCCGCATCAAGGGGGCCGTGAGCTTCGCCCTGAACGAGAACCCCGTGAGCGGGGACCCGTTCTGCGTGGAAGTGTGCATCATCTCCGTGAAACGCCGAACCATCCAGGTGTTCCTGGTGTACGAGGACCGGGTTCAGATCGTCAAGGAGGTGTCGACCCCAGAGCAGCCCCTTGCCGTGGCTGTGGATGGCCACTTCCTGTGCCTGGCCCTCACCACGCAGTACATCATCCTGAACTACAGCACGGGGGCCTCCCAGGACCTGTTTCCCTACTGCAGCGAGGAGAAGCGGCCCATTGTCAAGAGGATAGGGACACAGGAGTTCCTGCTGGCGGGCCCGGGAGGGCTGGGTGAGGACATTGCCTTAGAGCCGCTGCCCCGCCCCCTCCCTCCTGGGTGGGGGGGTGGGGGGGTGTCCCAGGGGTGAGGCTTTAGCTGTGAAAAGGAAACACTCCTGAGACCATGATGGAGTCTTCAGAAAGTTCCTGGGAAATGCATTCTATGAAAAAAAGCCATGCCAGGATTTCAGAATTATTTTCCCACCAAAATAAACTGATCTTTTAATCCCGTTTTCCATGAACTTTCTGAAGTTCCCAGCATCCAGCACGTGTGGCGAGAGGCTGTGAGGGAGCTGTCAGCGTTTGCTCAGGTCCCGTCACGTGGGCTGGTGAACGTGGGCTTAGCAGAACGAAACAGACCCAGTCCTAAAACCAGCTTGCTTTCATGTTAAAGCAGAGCTGGAAGACGGCTCTGCTGGGAAAGTTCTTGTAAGGATGCCAAAATCTGCAAAGATTCCCTTCGGAGAGTTGTCCCGCGGGGGTGGGTTTGCCACTTGACTCTGCTTACTCCGTGTTCTTGAAGGAGCCGAGGTAGCTCGCTAAGCGTTTTCAGCTGTGGAGGCTTCAGTGTTTCGCCAGAATGTTCTCTTTCATTTCCTGTAATTTCATCCTACCCGAAAGGTTTCTGTGGCTAGCTCCTTGAAAGGGGCTCTGGCCGTTCTTGCGTGGCCTTAGCTAATTCTCTGGACGGTGTTATCAGAATGAACCATCAGAGCTGTTAATATTGGCAGTGTCTCCCGGCCTTTCCCTCCGGTCGTAAGTGGCTCCTGTTAGCATTAGTGTGTGTACATGTTATTTCCCAGGGCGCTGGTGAGAGTGAGTCTGTTTTAACGCTGGCATTTTGTAATCTCAGGGAGTTTTTTTGTACCTTTTTTTTTTTAAAGGTTTATTTATTTATTTGAAAGGCAGAGTTACAGAGAGGGAGAGAAGGAGAGACAGAAAAAGAGATCTTCCACCTGTTGGTTCACTCCCCAGATGCTGCAGCGGCCAGGGCTGGGCCATGTAGGTGCAGGGGCCCAAACACCTGGGCTATCTGCTGCTGCTTTCCCAGGTGCGTGAGCAGAGAGCTGGATCTGAAGTAGAACGGCTGGCTCTTGAACCGGCCCCCATATGGGACGCTGGTGTCACAGGCAGCGGCTTCACCCTCTAAACCTCAATACCAGCCCCAATTTTTAGTTTTTTTTTTAAGCTTATCTTGTACTTTAGAGCAGTTTGAGGTTCACAGCAGAATCGGAAGTACAGGGGCTTCTCCTTTGCCTCCTGCTGATCCGTCATCAGCAGCATCCACACCAGCACGGCGCCCTGCTGCTGGTGCCCTGTGATGGCATGCACCCACCTGCCTGGTGCACAGAGCGTCCTCATGGCCCTGTCGTCTGTGCTGTGTCTCTGCCTCCCTGCCTCGCTCCTACCCCCTGACAACACCACCACCACCACTCTGTTGACTGTCTGCTTAGTCTTGTCCTTTCCAGAACGTCGTAGTGGAGTTTGGGATCCCACAGGACGGGGTCTTTTCAGATTGGCTTCTTTCATTGAGGAATGCGCATTTGAAGTGCCTCCGCGTCTTTTCTCGAGAAAAAAAGTTGATGGATCCAGTCACCTCTTTTTAAAAAATAATTGAATTTGGCCGGTGCCGCGGCTCACTAGGCTAATCCTCCACCTTGCGGCGCTGGCACACCGGGTTCTAGTCCCGGTCAGGGCGCCGGATTCTGTCCCGGTTGCCCCTCTTCCAGGCCAGCTCTCTGCTGTGGCCAGGGAGTGCAGTGGAGGATGGCCCAGGTGCTTGGGCCCTGCACCCCATGGGAGACCAGGAGAAGCACCTGGCTCCTGCCTTCGGATCAGCGCGGTGCACTGGCTGCGGCGGCCATTGGAGGGTGAACCAACGGCAAAAGGAAGACCTTTCTCTCTGTCTCTCTGTCTCACTGTCCACTCTGCCTGTCAAAAAAAAAATTTGAATTTTTATGTGGAAAACAATAGCATAGTGAACACGATATAGCCGTCACCCAGCTTCAGCCATTGTCAGTTGCTTTGTGTACCCATCTACTCCCACCTTAATTAGAGACAGATCCTAGATATCATAGTATTTTATCTGTAAGTCATTTACTATATGCTTCTAAGTTACAGATGCTTTAAAAAAACAGAGAATTATTACATACCTTAAAAAATTTCACAGTAATTCCTTTGCACTCTCAAATATATCTAGGCATGTCATATATGTTATCAAATATAATAGAGATATATGCATGAATGAGTATACACATCTTTAAATGTTTGCATATTTTAAAATGTCTTTAAACATTTAAAATGTTTAATTTATTTGTGAGGCAGAGAGAATGAGAGGAGGGGGAGAGAGAGCTTTCATCTACTAATTTACTCTCCGCATGACTGCAGTGGCCAATCCGAAGCCAGGAACTCAATCCCGATCTCCCATGTGGGTGGCAGGGACCTAAGTACTTGAGTTATAACCATCATGTCCCAGGATCTTCATTAGCAGGAAGCTGGAGGCAGGAGCCAGAGCTAGGAATTGAACCTAGGTGCTTCCGTATGGGACGTGGACATACGAACTGCTGGGCTAATTGCACAACTCTGAATGTTTTGTTTTTCTTTATGCCTATTTATTGTCATCTACTCAGAAGACAGAGTGACACAGAGAGGTCTTCTGTCTGCTAGTTTGTTTTTCAAATACCCTCATTTAAGGAATAAATAGCCTGGCCCCAAATCAGGCACCCAGAGGGTCTCCCTCATGGACAGCAGTGCCCCAAGCAGTTGAGCCGTCCTCTGATGCCCCGCAGGATGCTGTGGCACGAAGCTGGATCAGAAGCAGAGGTGCTGGGTCTCAAAGCAGGTACTCCAGTACGGCATGCGGGACTCCAAGCAGTGGCCTAACCCATGTGCCACAGCGCCCCATTCCTTATGTTTTCATTTATCTGAATCAGTTGCACATGAGGCCCTGGACACTGCGGTGGGTTGATAGATTTGTGAAGCTTCTTTTACCTTGGTTTCCTCTCCTTCTCTTATTCTTTTTCCGTAATTTTGTTGTTGTTGTTGTTGAAGAAATGGCATGTTTCCCCTACAGCTTCCCTCCACCTTTATTTTGATGACTTTGTCTCCCTAGTGTTGTTGGCCATGCTACCTTGACCACTTGGTGTTTCCTGAAAATGGGTAATTAGGAGATGGAAGTTTGTGTTATTTGCTTGTCTTGGGGGACAAGGCACAACCACTTCCCTGTGGTGAGGAGCTCCCATCAGGGTGACCTCGGGCCTTCTTAGCCTGTCTGTGATAACGGCTGTCCACCCCTATTGCCTGTGTGTGTTGCCTCCTTAGGGGCTGGAAATGGCAGCACTGCCTCTGTCCACTCTTCCTTCCTCCGTTCTGAGGAGCAAGACCTCCATGAACATTCGCGTTACCCCCTCCCCTCCTGAGAACTTTGTTTAACAAGTCAGGATGGGACAGTTCCCAGTAGGGTGGTCCCTTCCATCTTCCACTTCCAGAAAAAGACTTTTGAAAAAGCGTGGTTGTGAACCCCCGAAGTTGAAACAGTGCCTGGGCAGGGGGCGTGTATTTCAGGGTGAACCCCTGGAAGTGTCATGGCTGCTTTGCCTTCTGGAGGGTTGTCCCCTCTTCTTGTGCATATCCTGCCCCAGGTCTGGGTCAGCTGTTAACCCCGCTGAGCCCAGACGTGTATAGAACGCAGCTTGGGGCTGGAGGTACACGTTGTCCATTCTCTAGGCCTTTTCGGTAGACGGTGCCAGGAAGTAGACTTTTTTTTTTTTTTAAGGTAACTCCCACGTGAGATCATATTGATAGAACCTGGTGCCTGCTTTCAGCCACATCAAAGATCTTCTCTGCCCACATAATTATCCCTTCAGTGTGTCCCGCAGTCCCTGGGACAGAATAACAGTGCCAGCACCATAGTTCCCACAATGTAATTACTGGAAAAAGCTTGATTGCAGTTCTCTTTGTCCTTAGGGTATTAGGAATATGTGGTCAAATTACTGTGTTCCGAAGCCACTTGCAACAGTGCCCTTCCGTGTGGTTGTACCACCAGCTGCATGTCCGGTTAGATTGATTTGTTTCATTTCACCGTAGGTTTCACAGCAATTGCTTTAGTTGATTTAATCTTTTGGATTGTATAAATATTTACAAAGTTCTAAGGCAGATCAGTCCAGCAAGATGTAATTAAAGCGGTTTGCACCTTGTCTCCCCTCTTCCCCTGGGGGTACTCTTTGTTTTTTTAGGGTTTATCCTTTCATTGTTCAGTAAGACATCTAAGCAGATATGGAAATATCGGTCTCTCCCTCTTTCTGGGCTAAATGATGGCACCCTCTCTTCCCCTTGCTTTTCTCTTCATCTATTATGAGCATCGCCTCATGGTATAGTACAGAGTCCTCCTGCACACTTGAGCTACTGCATGGGGGGTTCCACTGTTCATTCAATTAGACAGACTCCTAGGGGTGACATCTGGGGTTTTTCCGGCTTCCTGTTATTAAATCACACTCATGTTTCTGTGGCTTTTTTTTTTTTCCAGTGTGTCTATGGGAAAGCTCTCTAGATGTGGCATTGCTAAGTCAAAGTAGAGATGCGTTTGAGTCCTGCTGGGTGTTGCCGTGTCCCCCTGCATAAAGGCTGTGCGATTTTATATTCTGTGCAGCAGTGTATGCCAGTGCCTGTCCCTCCCCAGCTCTGCCAGCAGGGGGTGTTGTCCAGACCATTGTATTTTTGCCACCACAGTCCATGAGAAATGGTGTCTCCATGCCATTTTTTTTTTTTTACGTTTACTTATTTAAGAGACAGAGAGATGTGGAGACAGAGTGCTCCCATCCTCTAGTTCATTCCCTGAATGCCCCAGTGGTTAGAGTGCTAGAGCTGGGAGCTGGGAGCGCACTCCAGGGCTCCCATGTGACTGGCAGGGGGCCCGGTCCCTGGAGCCATCGCCGCGGCCTCCCAAGGTCTGCATCAGCGGGAAGTTGGAGTCAGTCTCTCTCTCTGCCTTTCATATAAATGAAAACAGGAGCTGGCATTGTGGCATAGTAAGTAAAGCCCCACTGCCTGCAATACTGGCATGCTGTATGGGTGCTTGTTCGTGTCCTGGCTGTTCCACTTCTGATATAGCTCCCTGCTAATGGGCTGGGAAAAGCAGAAGAAGATGGCCCAAGTGTCTGGGCCCCTGCTACCTGCATGGGAGACCTGGATGAAGCTCCTGGCTCCTGGCCTCAGCCTGGCCCAGCCCTGGCCGTTGAGGCCATCTGGGGAGTAAATCAGCAGATAGAGGATCTCTCTCTCTCTGTTTCTCTGTGCCCCACTGCCTCTCTCTGTAACTCTGACTTTCAAAGAAATAAACAAATCTTTTAAAAAATAAAGATAGAAAATGAATACAAATAAATAAATTTTTAAAAAACCATACCACTGACAAATTGGTTATATTTGCATGTTAACGGTGTTTACACTCCTGCACCAGTATAGAAACAATAGCTGTCACCGCCTTCGTAGCAAGAGTAGAATAATGAGATAATTTCAAAAAGTTCATGGAAAGTGGCATTCAAAGCCTTCGATTTTACTACAGAAAAATTTTGAAATCCATGCATACGGGGGAGCCTTCAAAAAGTTCATGAAAATTACATAGTTTGGAAAAAAAAATCCTGTAGATTTCAAATGGTTTTTGCACCCCAGTAAACTGACCTCGTTTTGCTTGGCACAGCGTTTCTGAAGTGTGCCCGTGGTTGGCTGGGTGTCAGTTCCCGTGTTTCCTTGCTGGGTCTCTGCGCTCTTTTCCTTCTGCCTCATTGGCCAGTTTCTGCTCTGCTCTTTTATTTTAGTGAATTCTTTGCTTAACCTTTAGTGAAGAAGCATTTGTGGTGTTTTTTTGTTTTTGTTTTTGTTTTTGTTTTTTGGTAAAGATTTATTTATTTGAAAGGCAGAGTTACAGAGAGACATCTCCCATCTGCTGGTTCATTCCTTAAATGACTGCAACACCCTGGCCCAGCCTAAAACTCCACCTGGGTCTCCTTTATGAGTGGTGGGAGCCTGAGCCATCTTCAACTACTTTTCTAGGTATATTAGCAGAGAGCTGAATTGGAAGTAGAGCAGCCGGGACTCGAACCGGTGCTCTGATGTGGGACGTCAGTGTGGCAGGCAGCTTAACCCACTGTGCTACAGCGCTGCCCCAAGCCTGTGCTCTTGACCTCTAGTTTCTGCCCTTTTTATTTGGAGAACATTAATCAGGGCCTCTGCACGACACAGTCCCCCGAGCAGGTGCTGCCCAGCCTGAAGCCGATAGCTGCGGTGACTTTGCCGTGAGTGTGGGGTCAGGCCGACAGTGTAGTTGGTGTCTGTGTTATGTGGCAGCTGTGCTGCACAGAGCATGGTATTTGACCCGAAATCCAGTGGAAGGTTCGGGATTACTCAACGCTGGTCTCTTCCTGACTTTGCATTTTGCCAAATGCTTGGGTGGAGAGCATGTCACAGAACCAGTGTGTTCAAGTCCCTTTTCTTTCTTCATGTAGGCTCTCTTTACCTTACTGTTTTTAAATGCATGGAGAGGGGCCGGGGCTGTGGCATAGTGGGTAAAGCCATCCCCTGAAGCACCGGCATCCCATATGGGTGCCGGTTCTAGTCCCGGCTTCTCCACTTCCAATCCAGCTCTCTGCTATGGCTTGGGAAAGCAGTAGAAGATGGCTGAAGTCCTTGGGCCCCTGCATCCGCATGGGAGACTTAGAAGAAGCTGCTGACTCCTGGCTTCGGATTCACCCAGCTCCAGCTGTAGGGGCCATTTAGGCAGTAAATCAGCATATGGAAGATCTCTCTCTCTCTCCCTGTTTCTGCCTCTCCACTTCAGACTGAAGCCAGGAGCTTCATTTGTGTCTCCCACATGGGTGGCAGGGGTACAAACACTTGGGCCATCTTCCATTGCTTTCCCAGTTCATTAGCAGGGAGCTGGATGGGAAGTGGAGCCACCAGGATTCAAATCTGTGCCCATATGGGTTTCCAGCACTGCAGGCAGCAGCTTGATCCACGGTGCCACAGCACCAGCCCCAGAAATGGCTACTTTAGTGTTTTATGTCCATCTTAGAACCACTGCGTGTATTACAGAAGTTTTCACAGACAGATGCGTCACTGCGCTCTGCCTTGAATTGCAGGACCTGTCCTACTCCAGCGTTATAGAGTGTGCACGGTATTGTCAGTGTACACATCACGTGTACCAGTTACCCGGTATCAGACTGCAGCTCTAAACATGGAGTGCCTGCCACGTAGCAGGTGTGCAGTGGCGATGTGGGCAGTGAATGCGGGAGGGAGAGCTGTAACAGAGGCAGCCTGGTTGGAGGGCTGGGTATGAAAGAAAGTTTGCAAAGCTCCTTACGTGATTTGGCAGTACCTTTTTCACGGTGACAGAATCATTATAGCAGAGCTGCCTCTCACACACACGTACACACTAAGAATATATAACATTCATGGCTAACTTTTCACCCCTCCCTGTAGCTGCTCCATTGTTTTTTTTTTTTTTTTTTTTTTTTGAATTTTTATTTCCTTGAGCGGTAGAGTTACAGACGGAAAGAGGGAGAGAGAGAGAGAAAGGTCTTCCATCCACTGGTTCACTCCCCAAATGACCACAATGGCTGGACTTGGGCAGATCTGAAGCCAGGAGCCAGGAACTTCTTCCAGGTCTCCCATGTGGGTGCAGGGGCCCAAGCACTTGGGACATCTTCTATTGCTGGGACACGAACTTGCACCCATAGGGGATGTTGGCACTGTAGCCAGAGGCTTAGCCTACTGTGCCACAGCACCAGGGCACCCTCCCCTTCAACCCCCTCCCCGCCTTGCCGTTCTTAACAGTCAATGGATAGAGGTTGGGGGAGCTGCTTGCACAATTGGCCTGTTCTCTTGTGCCTGTGCCAGGAAGGGAGAAGCCTGGCCAGCTCATAGCTCACTGTGGCACAAGTCACCCCCAGCGCAGCCCCCGGCCCCCTGTCAGCCGCCGACCCGCGGACCCACAGATGTGGGTTGAGATAATAGATGACTGTTGTTTCTAAAGGGAAAAGTAGCTGCTTTCCCTGTGTGAGGACATGTGCTTTGTAAATCCTCCTGTGGTTATGTGGAAACTTGGTTTTTAACCTCATTTTTAGTTTTGGGAGTAAATACAAGACATACATTTTGGGTAAGGCAGTGCTTTTTGCTTTTTTTTTTTTTTTTTTTTTTTTTTGACAGGCAGAGTGGACAGTGAGAGAGAGAGACAGAGAAAGGTCTTCCTTTTGCTGTTGGTTCACCCTCCAATGGCCGCCGCGGCCGGTGTGCTGTGGCCAGCGCACCGCGCTGATCCGATGGCAGGAGCCAGGTACTTATCCTGGTCTCCCATGGGGTGCAGGGCCCAAGTACTTGGGCCATCCTTCACTGCACTCCCTGGCCACAGTGCTCTTTTTTTTTTTTTTTTTTTAAGATTTATTTATTTATTTGAAAGTCAGTGTTAGAGAAGGAGAGGTAGAGAGAGGTCTTCCATCTGCTGGTTCACTCCCCAATTGGCTGCAACAGCCGTAGCTGCACCAATCCGAAGCCAGGAGCCAGGAGCTTCTTTTGGGTCTCATACTATGTGGGTGCAGGGGCCCAAGCACTTGGGCCATCCTCCACTGCTTTCCCATGCGCATTAGCAGGGAGCTGGATCAAAGTGCAGCAGCCGGGACTCGAACCAGCACCCATATGGGATGCTGGTGCTGTAGGCCAGGGCGTTAACCCGCTGCACCACAGCCCTGGCCCCAAGGGAGTGCTCTTCCCACGTGCAATGTTTTGGATTACCTTCCCTTTCTTGAAGTGTAAGACTGTAGCAGGAAATTGAGGAGTGTTGCACACCCAAGACTTCTGTAGGAAAAGGGGGCTGTGGGTATTGGAAGGTCGGCCTAACTTTTCTTCTGAACTGCCCTAGGCATGTTTGCCACTGTCGCTGGGATATCCCAGCGTGCACCGGTGCACTGGTCTGAGAATGTGATTGGGGCGGCCGTCTGCTTTCCCTACGTCATAGCGCTGGATGACGAGTTCATCACGGTTCACAGCATGTTGGATCAGCAGCAAAAGCAAACCCTGCCCTTCAAGGAAGGCCACATCCTCCAGGACTTCGAAGGTACCGACGCTCAGAGACATCTTAGCTGGCTTACGAACCCTTGTATCATGACGTCTCTTCCGTAAATGGCATTAAGGGCCCATGAGGAACTGGGCTTTGGGCTGGCTAAGCGTGGCAGGTAACGCAAGTGACTTCTATGCAGGGCAAGTGCTTCTAGGCCTCCAAGGTTCATGGAGAGACCGCCACGTAAAACAGATAGCTACCTAAGAGCTTGATGGGCGTGGGGAGAGAACCAGTGGGAGAGCAGAGGAGGAGGTACTTCCTAGACATATCAGGATGGGCTTCCTGAAGGGGGCGGTGTTTAGAAGCTGAGGAGCCAGCCAAGCAGATGTGATGTGAAAGAACCTTCTAGGAAAGACAAAGGGGTGTGGGAGCCTGTATTAGAGGGAGCCCTGGACCTCAGGCCCCCTAGCAGAGCACGGCAACTGTAGTGCATGGTGTGTGTGTGTGTGTGTGTGTGTGTGTGTGTGTGTGTTGAGGGGAGGAGGATGGACAGGGTGGGCTTCCAGGGCAGGCAGGAAGGGTCTTCATCTTGTGGGACATAATGAGCCAGATGAAGGGTTTGTGTCAGTTTAATTTTGAACGTCTTCAAGTGTCCGTAAACGTTGAGAGAGATCAGGGTCCGTTTGCCGTTTAAGGAGTTTGGTTCAGCAAACGCAGCCCACCCTGGGTCAAGTGCGATCTTCAATGCTGGGGGTTAAAAACTCAGTAACGACACACAGTCCCTACAGTGGCGGGGGTCAGACGCTAGCTGGGGCACTGACACACGTAAGCAACATGTTCAGTGGCCCTTCAGTATCCTTGGGGACTTGGTTCCAAGACCCCCAAAGATACCCAACTCTGCAGATGGACAAGCCCATCCAGAAAATGCCTTCATATCTGCTTATAGCCTACGCATACCTTCCTGTATACTTCATTTAAAAAATGCAACTTTAAAAAAAATTTTTTTTTGAGAGGCAAGAGACAGAGGCTCCCATCTACTGGCTAAAACTCCCCAAATGCCCGTAACAACCAGGACTGGGCCAGGCCAAAGCTGGGAGCCATAACTCAATCCAGGTCTCCCACATAAGTAGCAGGAACCTAATTCCCTGAACCATCACCGCTGGCTCCCAGGGTCTGCATCAGCTGGAAGCTTGGAGTGAGGAGCTGGAGCCTGGAATTGAACCCAGGTACTCCGACGTGGGACAAGGACACATTCACCTCCAGGCCACACCCCTGCTCTCCTCACTTGTACTTTAAGTCATCTTACCCGTAATACCTAATGTGATGCAAATGGTATCTAAGTAGTTGTGAGACTATGTTGTTTAGAGGAAAATGCAAGAAAAGCATCTGTACGTGTTCAGTTCAGATGCTGTTTTTTGTTTTTTTTTCTTGAACATTTTCGGTCTGCAGTTGGTTGAGTCAGAGAAGTAACAGTCAGACACGGAGGGCTGTGTAGCAATATTACATTACTGGAACCAGAGGCCGTGTGGGATGCAGGCAGCAGCTTAACCTGCTGCGCCAGACCAGCCCCCTTGCAATATGACTCTGTGTACTGAGGCGTGGAAACGTATGCAGGGTGTTGTGCACACGTGGAAGACACAGCCCACCCTACCTGGGATTGGAGGGAGGTTTCCTGGACAACAGGGACACCAGGGCAGGGACAGAATTTGAGCCCGAGGAAAACTGCTTTGATCATGACACAGAAGACAAAAGGAAAAGAACGTTAAACTGCTTCCTGTGGACAGGTAATGCTTAGCTGGAAGTTTCTCCGAAAGGGAGCTGAGTTTCGTCTGAAAGTTCGGTAGTAGGAGCTGGTTGTGAACTGCAGAGCCAACTCTTCCACAGGCTACTTAAGGATTAGGCCTCACAGGTACAAGGAAGATGACAGCATTGGCGGTGGCCAGGGAAGCCTCGGAGGCATTTGGATGGTGAATGATATGACAGATCATCTCATGGTTCTGAATATTGAATTAAAATCTTAGTTTTATGTAAACTGGCTTGAAGCAGGAAGAATGGGGAAAGTATCTTGTGTGAGACGTATCTTAATACTTACTGATAATGCCGCGTGTTGGAGTTCTGCAGCTAGATCGTGTACTTTCTACAGTGATTCTAGGTTTGTCAGAGCTTTCAAATAAGCCAAAAAGCCAGATGTTCTTCTTTGGGACTGTAGTTGTAAGAGTTTGCCTTTTGTGACATTTGGCAATGTGGGAAGAAAAGGAAGGCCCTGCAGTTTATAGTTTCTGTATGAATTCTATTGGGCAAACTGATGGAATTGCTCAGAGACTCAGAGAACGCGGCAGAGTGGGGGAGGAGTTGGTTTTCTTGGAGGCCGTATGCTTTTTTCCTTTCCAACAACGTTGACTTTCTTCCCAGGAAGAGTGATTGTTGCCACGAGTAAAGGAGTGTACATCTTGGTTCCATTACCTCTGGAGAAACAAATACAGGATCTTCTCTCAAGCCGCAGAGTGGAAGAAGCTTTGGTGTTAGCCAAAGGAGCCCGGAGGAACATTCCAAAGGAAAAATTTCAGGTTTGTAACTCACTGGTGACAAGGACATGCAGATGTCAGTAGCACGTGGGGCCCCCTCCTAGTGCACCGCACCGTGCACGTTGCTGGTTGTGTGTGGTTTCTGTAAGAATCCTACAGAGGAAATGCCCATGAAATCGATGGAGAACTCAGGCGCCCGTCCACTTTGGAGCCAGCATTATAATCTGAACAGATCCGCATTTTAGATGTCAGGAAACAGCAGTTGGCACCGCTTGACTGAGTGCACAGCCGACCGTGGATACGTCAGGTTTGGAGGCTTGGAGCTTCAGACTTGATTCTGGTACTTACCGTACCAGCTCGTATTTCCAATCACTTTGGTTCTTCAGCGAGCTTTCAGAGAAGGCTCAAGAACACCATTCTTGTAGACCAACAGAGGCAGGTCAGGCTCATCGGGCTCTGAATGTAGAGTTTGAATTTGTTGAATTGAGGGGCTGAATTCAAGTTGAGATCCCTGTCAGCCACAGGACAAGCTTTGCTGGCAATCGAGTGCTGAATGTTGCAGAGCATTCGGTTGATTTCCTTAGAAAACTCAATGCACTTAAGAAACACCAACTTTAAATGTAACTGGTGCAATAATTAAGTTCCCTTAAATTGTTAGTTGACCCATTGTTGGGCTGTTCAGGCTACTCTGTGTGTTTCAGAGGAAGAAAACATGTTGGCGTGCGCATGTGCACGTGTGTGCATTGCACATGAATGTCCAGATTGATCACAGAGAGTTCCCATGAGTTAATAATATCATCAAATTTCATACATGGGCCGGTGCCACGGCTCAATAGGCTAATCCTCCGCCTGTGGCGCCGGCACCCCGGGTTCTAGTCCCGGTCGGGGCGCCAGATTCTGTCCCGGTTGCTCCTCTTCCAGGCCAGCTCTCTGCTGTGGCCCGGGAGTGCAGTGGAGGATGGCCCAAGTGCTTGGGCCCTGCACCCCATGGGAGACCAGGAGAAGCACCTGGCTCCTGCCATCGGATCAGTGTGGTGTGCTGGCCGCAGCGGCCCTTGGGGAGTGAACCAACGGAAAAAGGAAGACCTTTCTTTCTGTCTCTCTCTGTTCACTCTGCCTGTCAAAAAAAAAAAAAAAAATTCATACATGACTGCCTGATTGCTTTTTGGCCTCGGTTGCCTTACGCAGCAAAGGGTGGATTGTGAACATGAAGAGAGCCAGAATGTGTAATTTGTGGTTATGGGATTTGAAAGGCGGCACCTAGTCTACACCTTAGCACCGATAAGCTTCTCATCTTTGTTCCTAAAACACTGTTAGCAACATTCCTGTTTTCAGTTACCACGTAGGGATTGTACATGTGTATGGGGTGAGTGTCACAGTCCCACACATCAGATTAGGGTAATTGGCACCTCCATCAGCTCAGACCTGGGTGGTTTCTTTGTGTTGGAAACATTCAGAATCTCTCTGCTGGCTGTTTGAAGATACTCAGTTACTGGTTGTCTCGCAGTCAGCTTGTTCTGCCACACCCCTGTACCCTGTCACCATCCTCTCCCCGTCACACCCTCCCCTGCCTCTGTGGAACCCCTGTTCTGCCCACTTCCTTGAGAACAGCTTTGTGGCTCATGCACGGGCATGAGAGTCGGAGGCAGTTGTCTTTCCATACCTGATTGCTCCCTCTTTCAAGGCTCACGCACGTTGCTAAGGCTGCTCCTAACCATCCCTAAACGTCTCATCTGTTCCCGACTCCTACTTGAGGAAGACTGAACTCTTTGTGTTCAGCAGGGGGCAGCAAAAGCAAAAAGAAGACAGCAGCTGTTGTGTTGGCCCAGGGCCTGTGACCGTGCTGTGTCTTCGCGCTGTGTGGCTTCCGCGTCCTGCAGTGGGATGGATGCATGGGCACATGGTCCCTGGGAGGCGGCTTCCCTCCCCCTACAGGGCTGGGGCCGGGGTTTTTCACAAGCATGTCCCCTCAGGAGGACATAAACCTCATGCACATTAATGCAGGGCATTTTCTCTCTCTCTCTCTCTCTCTTTTTTTTTTAAGATTTATTTATTTATTTGAAAGTCAGTGTTACACAGAGAGAGGAGAGGCAGAGAGAGAGGTCTTCCATCCATTCATTCTCCAGTTGGCCACAACAGCCGGAGCTGTGCCAATCTGAAGCCAGGAGCCAGGAGCTTCCTCCAGGTCTTCCACACAGGTGCAGAGGCCCAAGGACTTGGGCATCTTCTACTGCTTTCCCAGGCCATAGCAGAGAGCTGGATTGGAAGTGGAACAGCAGCCAGGTCTCGAACTGGCACCCATATGGGATGCCGACACTGCAGGCGGCATCTTTACCTGCTACGCCATAGCCCCGGCCCCGCAGGGCGTTTTCCTCAAGAGGTGTTCAGTCTTTATCTGAGTTTTGCTTTTTTTCCCCCTCTCTTTACCAGGAGCTGGTCAATGTGTTGTAATTGGGGTTATCTTGTTCTCCGGTCTGACATTGTGGTTGAGTTTGCTCTTTTTTTTTTTTTTTTTTTTTTTTTTTTTTAAGATTTGTTTATTTACTTGAAAGGCGGAGTTACAGAAAGAGGGAGAGACAGAGAGAGAGAGAGAGAGAGAGAGTCAGTCTTTCATTCTGTGGTTCACTCCCCAAATTGCCGCAATAGCCGGAGCTGCACCCATCCGAAGCCAGGAGCCAGGAGCTCCCTCTGGGTCTCGCACGCAGGTGCAGGGCCCAAGGACTTGGGCATCTTCCACTGCTTTCCCAGGCCATAGCAGAGAGCTGGATCGGAAGTGGAGCAGCCGGGACTCGAACTGCTACCCACATCCAGCACTGCAGGTGGATGCTTGACCTACTACACCACAGCGCTGGCCCCGGGTTTGTTCCTTTCTGCCCTACTCCCTGCCCTCTCCCTGTGTTGTTCTAAACTCACACGTCCTGCCCAGGGACTACCTCTCTGATTTTGCTCAGGTGTGGCCAGGACTCGCATGTCTGTTGTACTGATAGCACAGGTGATCAGGCCCTCCTTCTTGTGTTTTGCCTCTGCAAAACGATACCATCATTTTATGTATATTTTGTGTGCAGCATGTGAAATGCATTTTGCCTACATGTTTCATATATCAGCATTTATGTGTCTATGCATATATAATTACAAGCTGTTTATAGACTTAATCAGGGACAGAGTGCTTTTTCAGCGAGACTCTTACACGAACATTCCACATAATATATTTTGGAAGAGGTGTTCCTGTGTAGGCAGTAACTAAGAGTGTTTTTCAACAAGTATAAGACAAATAAACAAAACAACAGGACAGGCATTTGGCCCAACACTTAGGATGCCCACGTCCCACATTAGACTACCTGGCTTCAACCCCCAGCTCTGGCTCCTGACACCAGGCAGCAGCGTTGGCTCAAATAGTTAGGTCCCTGCCACCCTTAAGGGAGACCCGTATTGAATTACTGCTCCTGACTTGGGCCCCACCCCAGCCATGTGGGGGCATTTGGTGACTGAAACAGTAGAGAGGATCTCTCTCTCTCTCTGTGTCTCTCATTCTCTCTCTTTCTGTCTCTCTGGGTCTCTCTGCTGCTTGAAAACAACAGCAACCAAAAAAAACCACCACCACTCGGGTAGGTAGGTAATAGGGAAAAAGTAGGAGTCCAATTAAAATGATAACATGCCGGGCTGGTGCTGTAGCGCAGCGGGTTAACGCCCTGGCCTGCAGTGCCAGCATCTCGTATGGGCACCAGTTTGAAACCCGACTGCTGCACTTCCGATCCAGCTCTCTGCTATGGCCTGGCAAAGCAGTAGAAAATGGCCCAAGTCCTTGGGCCCCTGCACCTGCATGGGAGACCTAGAGGAAGCTCCTGGCTCTTGGCTTCGGATCTGCACAGCTCCGGCTGTTGTAGCCAATTGGGGAGTGAACCATCGGATGGAAGAGCTCTCTTTCTCTCTCTCTCTCTCTACCTCTCCTCTTTCTGTGTAACTCTGACTTTCAAATAAATAAATAAATCTTAAATAAATTAATAAAATTATTACATGCCAATTTGTGATTATCATGTAGGCTGTACTTATTTTGCAGGAATGCTACTTAAGAGTCATTGCTCCTATATCTATGGCTTTACTGTTTGCAATTCTCGTGATCCATGGTCTAAAAGCGTTCAGTGGAAAATTCCAGAAATAAACAATTCAAAAGTTTATTGTTATAAGTATTCCATTTTATTATAGTTGTTAACCTCTTACTGTGTTCAGTTTATAAATTAAGCTTTATCATAAATCTATATTGTAAGAATAGACTACACATGGGGTTAATTTTTTATTTTCTTAAAGATTTATTTTTTTCTTTATTTGAAAAACAGAGGTACAGAGAGAGGTAAAGAGAGAGAGGTCTTCAATCCACTGGTTCACTCCCCAAATGGCTGTAATGGCCAGCTGGAGCTGCACTGATCCAAAGCCAGGAGCCAGGAGCTTCTTCTGTGTCTCCTATGCAGGTGTAGGGGTATAAGGACTTGGCCCATCTTCAACTGCTTTCCCAGGCATAGCAGAGAGCTGGATCAGAAGTGGAGCAGCCGGGACTCGAACCAGCGCCCATATGGCATGCCGGCACTGCAGGCGGTAGCTTTAACTTGCTACGCCACAGCGCCGGCCCCAGCACTGGGTAACTCATAGAAGAGAAGTTTGCTCGCGATTCTGGAGGCAGGGAAGTCCAAGAGCAGAGCGCCAGCATCAGTGGGGCCTTCTCACTGCATCTTAGCATAGCAGAGAGCATCCCCTGGCGAGCCAGCAGGCTGCCAGCTCGTCTCTCTTCCTCTTCTTACAAAGCCACTGATGCTGCCCCGGCGGCCCCACCCTCACGACCTCATCCACCCCCAGGCATCTCCCAAAGGCCCCACCTCCAAGTACCAGAAACATGCATTTGAGGATCAAGTTCCTAATGCATGAACATCTGGGGGACAGGTTCAAACCATAGCTGCCCTTATGCTGATGTCTTTTTTTTTTTTTTAATTATTTATTTGAAAGAGTTACAGATAAGTAGAACCAGAGAGAGAGAGAGAGAGAGAGAGAGAGAGAGAGAGGTCTTCCGTCCACTGGTTTACTCCCCAGATGGCCACAATGGTTGGAGCTGTGCCGATCTGAAGCCAGGAGCCTGGAGCTTCTTCCGGGTCTCCCATGTGGGTGCAGGGGCCCAAGGAGTTGGGCCATCTTCTACTGCTTTCCCAGGCCATAGCAGAGAGCTGGATTGCAAGTGGAGCAGCTGGGACTTGAACCAGCGTCCATATGGGATGCCAGCTATGGGGCTTTACCTGCTGTGCCACAGTGCTGGCCCCTCAGCTGATGTCTTGACAACAAGCGTGGGTGTGACTGAGAAATTCCTCGGCCCCCGTGGAGGTGCTCTTTTCATTACGTGGATGGCCTCTGCTCTTCCTTTCGGAAGTAGAACTTGCACTGGCTTCCAGCACAACTCTGAGCGCTCCCACTGTGGGTAATCAGGCCAGTCTTCAGGTGGGAAATGGCTGGTTTCAGGGAGGAAAACTAAAGGCAGGCAGTGAGAAGAGAGAGGAAGGGGTTTTATTTTTTGTTGTTTGTTTGTTTGTTTGTTTTTTTGACAGGCAGAGTTAGAGTGAGAGAGAGAGACAGAGAGAAAGGTCTTCCTTTGCCGTTGGTTCACCCTCCAATGGCCGCCGCGGCCGGCGCACCGCGCTGATCCGAAGCCAGGAGCCAGGTGCTTCCTCCTGGTCTCCCATGGGGTGCAGGGCCCAAGCACTTGGGCCATCCTCCACTGCACTCCCGGGCCACAGCAGAGAGCTGGCCTGGAAGAGGAGCAACCAGGACAGAATCCGGCGCCCCGACCAGGACTAGAACCCGGTGTGCCGGCACCGCAGGCAGAGGATTAGCCTAGAGAGCCGCGGCGCCGGCTGAAAGGAAGGGTTTGTGCAGTGTGCTCCTTGTGCCATCTGCAAAGGACTATGTCGCGGGGGTGGCGGAGGGACTGTCGTTGTGCTGTGGAGAGTTCTTGAAACCACACTGAAGGGGGAGAACAGGATTGTTCCACCTGCTGTGTCGAGATGAGACAGTGATTGGAACGAATGGAGCGCTAGAATCAGAAAGCTCTAGTTTGAAATCCCGGCTCAGCCATTTATCTCAGTAGTAACTCTGGGCTAAATACATCTGCCGGCAGAATTTTGTTTTTATTTGAAAGGCAGAGGGGCACAGATAGATGAGCAGTCCAACAGAGAGCTCCTGTTTTCCTGGTTCACTCCCCAAATGCCTCCTACGGCCAAGGTCGGTCCAAGCCAAAGCCAGGGGCTGGGCCGGGCTGGAGTCAGGAAGAAGAGTTCCGTCCAGGTCTCCCACGTAAGGGAGCAGGGACCCACCTGCTTGAGCCACCACCCGTTGCCTTCCAGGGTCTACATTAACAGGAAGATGGAATTGGGAGTTGAGCCTTGTCTTGAACCCAAGCACTTCGATACAGGATGCAGGCTTCTTAACCACCATGCCAAATGCCCTCCTCAGTTTTCTTGTCTGTGAAATGGGGACAGCGCATGGTGCTGAAAGCAGTGCCCGGGCTCATTCTTCTGATTAGTAAGCTCTGACCAGATAGCAGGTGTTACGGTGTTAAGGTAGCGGTGTGAGGATACTAAGAGTGAGTTAAGGCTGTGCCTCACCTTCAAAGAGTTCATGGCGTAGGAAGCAGCCTGGTGGGCTAGAAGAAGGGGCCTCAAAGTCAGCGTAATTAAAACCTGATGGTGGTGTCTGACTGAGGTGGCGAGGGCCCAGGCCACGGCAATGGAACCTGCAAGAATAGAGCAGGGAGCCAAGTGCAGAGCAGGTTGAAACTTTGACATCAGCCTTGCCAGCAGGTGACAGGGAGGGGCCGGGACTGAAGGCAGCGCAAGACGAGTTCCTGAGGTGTGTGTTGCGCTTTCCGGATGGCAGGAGAACAGAAGTTGGGGTCACCGTGGAATTGGCCAAGATGAAGCACTGGTCTTCTTACAGGAGCTTCAGACTGTAATGTGTGGGTGTGGGCTGCGCATCCCAGGAGAGAGAAGTAGCATTTCCCAGGCTGGGCCTGGGGACGCCTACGTGTCTATGTGTGTTGTTATTAAATGACATCAGTCTCCTGCTCCAGGGGACACTGGGGAATGCGCCTGTGATGTCAGTTCTGGAAGAGTGGAAGAATGGGGAGCCCTAAACTACCAGTGACCCTTGAGTTGCTGATATCTGAGCAGCCAGAGGTAGAACTATTACGAAATACACTCGAAAACAGATTCATAAAGACACACAATGCATATATACACATTCACACAGACACACATACACACACACACACCCCAAATAGCCACAGGTTCATACACAAACACATGCATACACCCATTCATATGTGCACACACAGGAGACCCTGCATAGCCATGGGTTCTCTCTCTCTTACACACACACACACACACACACACACTCGAACATGCATAGCCTTTGACTGCATCTGTGAATTCAACAAAATGCGTGTGGAAAATATTCGGGAAAAAATGTGCCTGTACTGAACAAGTACTGATTTTTTTTCTTGTCATTAGTCCCAAACCATAAAGTGTATCTGCTTACATAGCATTTACATTGATTGGGAATTAGAAGTCAGCTGGAGATGATGTGAAGTATGTAGGAGGTGGGGTAGGCCTGGTGTGGTGGGTTAAGCTGCTACTTGTGACACCAGCATCTTACATGGAGTGCAAGTTCAAGTCCCGGCTGCTCCGTTTCCGATCCAGCTCTCTAGTCACATGCCTGGGGAGGCAGTGGATGATGACAGGAGGACGTGGACCCCTGCTACCTATGTGGGAGATCAGGATGGAGTTCCTGGCTCCTGGCTTTGGTCTGGACCAGCCCTGACCATAGAGGCCATTTGGGGGAGTGAACCAGAATTAAGAAGATCTCTTTCTCTCTCTGCCTTTCAAATAGATAAATAAGTAAATTTTAAGGCTGGATAAAGTATTTAGGAGGATTGCATACATTATATGCAAATACTAAGCTATTTTATAGAAGAGGCTGGAGCATCCTCAGGTTTTGGTATGCAGGGGAGTTTTGGAACCCATCCCCCTCGGATTCCGAGGGATGACTGGATACCTGATTTCACGTACACCTTGCTTTTTGCCGTATAGCACAGCTTCCTGTTTCTATGCACTAATTCCCCTGTAGCTCTGGTTGTGAATGAGAAGCACAGTCCCCCCGGGGGATGGTTTTGGGGTATCTCTAAGAGGTGCAACCTCTCTTTCCTTGTAGGTCATGTACAGGAGGATTCTGCAGCAGGCGGGCTTCATACAGTTTGCACAACTTCAGTTCCTGGAAGCGAAAGAGCTCTTCAGGTAATTTGCGGTGCTGGTCGTCAGTCCTGCTCCAGTGTCCCCTGTGCCCACAGCTTCTCTGTCCCCTGTGAGGCCGTGCTGGAAGTGCTGCCAGGGCCCCTTGCGCTTCCAGCAGAAACGGTGACCTTCACGGTAGCTGGCACCCTGGCACCGGTTCTTCCACTTCCCCTCCCCCTCCCCCATCGCCTCTGTGTAGCGAGGGTGGGGCTGAGGAGAGACCCAGATCCCCCTGTGGTCCTGCAGAGGGATTGTTTAGATGGGGGAGCGAATTCCCAGCAGTGCGTTTGAAGGCTTGTGAGGGTGTCTCCAAGGACACCATTGTCCACACCACCTCTTCTCCAGGGATTTTACAAGGAGCTGTGAGTTTAGGGAAAGAGTGGGGGCTTTGGGGAGAACTTGTGAAAACTCTCCCTCTTGAACAGATATTTTTTTAATGTGGTATCCCCGGTCAGCTGTCTTTTAGGAAGTTGAGTTTCTCTTTGGGAGGTCCCTTCTGGCCTTGAGGTTGATTCTGCACCTGCTAGGGGGCTCGCCGGCGGGCTGTCATGGTTGCATTCTCTCGCTGTCTCTCTCTCTCTCAGTCTCAGGCTCTCCTGGCCCTTCCTCCACCATCCCTCTGATCCCCATGGCTGTCCTGGGAGCACCTTCTGTCACCCTTGCCTCTCAGCAGGTGCTGCCCTCCCAGCAGAAGCTCAAGTTCAAGCTGCTATGATAGATATCTCCCTAAGGCCCTGCCTTTGGAACTGGCTCTCGGAGTGTCCCGCTGGAGTTGATTCTGCAGCAGGAAGGCCCCCTTACATCTGCTTAAGAGCCTAAGCGGTGGCCGCTTGGGGGCGCTGTGCAGGGAATCGCTGTCCGGGGACATCCGCAAATGACCCAGCCTCGATCTTCATCATCCCCGCCCCCTGCAGCTCTGATCTCTTGCTCTGTCTCAAAACCAGGAGTGGAGAACAGATTCTAAGTACAGAGGGACTCCCGCCTCGAGAAACAATGCCCCAGATGACTTTCACATGGGCACATCCCATGGGCTGATGTCCGTCATATCTCCCGTGTGGGTCTGTAGCTCTGGGGTTTAAGCGGATTCTTTGCTTCCTGGGATCTAGCTCTTTTCCTACCACGTCTTGTTTGATACCTGTGGGGGTCACAGACCCCCCTCATTCAGGTCACGGGGGTATCCTGTGACATCTTCCTTTTCTCACGGGTTAATTGGCCCCAGGATGCGTTTCTGGAAAAGTCCCTTAAATTGTAGGAGAATAGGGGTAGGGCCAACCTGTCACCGGGACAGGGCTCCTGCCCTTCAGCCTCCAGACAGCTGCCACCTGTGGGCCAGCACTCACAGCCTGTGTCACGAGGGTGACCGAGGGAGTTAAGGTTGGAGGTAACTACTCCTGAGACCCAGACGGTTTCACCTTCCCATTTGATACCCACGGTAAACACTGCCGATGTTCTGCCCTTGGTGAACTGGGGCTTGTCCTCCAAGTTTGTCAGCCCTGTGCTGGGGCCAGCACTGCAGCTGGGAACCTGTGCGTGGCTCACATCCCAGGGCGTGTGCTGCCTGCTCGTCTCTCTGGCCCGCGTGCCGCTGGGTTTGGCCCCGCTCTCATTTATCAGACCTGGTCCCCGAGCATCAGAGTGAGGGATGTAAAGGGCAAGACTGGCTCTGTTGTTAGGGCCCTCGTTGGTTTGGAAAACTGCCACGCACCCATGGAGCACTGGAGGCGTCGCAGGGCCACGGGAACACCCCATGGGCTGATGCTGGCCAAGAGAGGAATCTTTCTTTACCATGTTTGTCCTGGATCGTAGCCGATGAGCGGAAGTGCCCCACGTTCCCATATCAAGCTGGGGTTTCTCAACTGTGGCACTGATGCTGTCTGGGACCAGACGGTTCGTTGTTGTGTGGGGTCTGTCTTGTGCACAGCCACGTGGGCAGCAGACCCCTCCCCCACCCCAAGTGCCAGGGGGCATTCCCTTGTCCAGACATAACTACCTCCAGACACTGCTGGCCATCCCCCTGGGCACAAGCCTGCATCCTATTGTGAGCCAGCGCTCTAAGCAGCAGCAGAGGCCAGGAGGCATGGCATTCACTGAGGTCAAAGTGTAGCGATGTGGGCGGGGTGCTGAGGCTGAAGTCCTAAGGTTTAATAAGGGATTTGATGCCATGCTGAGAGGTCTGCAATGTGCCCTGTGGGTCGTTCAAACCACTGAAGATCAGGAGGTGAGGGAGCCAGGGAGGGGAGAGTGGAGGGTGGCTGGGTGGAGTATGGATGAAGTGCGGCCCCGGCTTCTCTTGCCTCCCAAGCGTTCCCACAAGGTGCTTCTGACTTGGGTCAGGGTGGCCATGTGCAGCTCAGAGCAGCCTGCATTAGCTGGTGTTAGCCAGCAGGCGGGAGGGGAGCAGATGGGAAGCGGTGCCACAGCGGACCAGAGGCGGGCCACCACTCAGGGTGGCTCGCCGGGCCTCCCAAGGCTGGGACGCCAGGCTGGCCCGTTTCCGCGTAGCCTACCACTGTTCTGCTCTGCAGTTCTCTGGAGTCAGCACAGAAACCATCCCCAAGTATATGTCTGTGTCTTTTGTCCTAAGACTGCCGAGGACACCATTGAGTTCCTATCAAGTTCCCTGCTGTAAGTGGAACTGGCTTTGACGCATGTTTCTAACTTGGTGTCAGGACACTGTTGGCTGTGAAGAACTGCAATGCCGACTCTGCTCGGGCAGGCGTACTGTGCTCTCCCGGGGGTGGCTTTGCCCGCCTGGCTTCCCAGGGAGTCCCGTGCTGCACTGGGTGTGCCCAGCAGCCCAGGGGTCTCCATGCCACTTCCACACTTGTGTGTGTGTGTGTGTGTGTGTGTCTCCTACCCTTGTGCCCCGCCTGCCCTCTTTTCGGAACCCGGTGACGTGCACCCAGTTTGACGCCACTTAGGAGCGTCACCGTGGCGTGCTCGCCCCACACCCAGCCCCCGTTGCCGTGTGCCGACGTGCACTGCCCTCAGTGTCGTTTTGTGTGCCTATGTGTAGTCTTTCTCTCTTTTTGCTTCATTTAGTTTGACACTGTAATTGCAGAAGCGGCCAGCTTGACGTCCGGGAGCTGATCTCTCTCTACCCCTTCCTGTTGCCCACCTCCTCTTCATTCACCCGGTCTCACCCTCCTCTGCACGACTACGCAGACCTCAACCAGCTGACGCAAGGGGACCAGGAGAAGATGGCCCAGTGCAAGCACTTCCTCATGAGCTACCTCAACGAAGTGCGCAGCACCGAGGTTGCCAACGGCTACAAGGAAGACATCGACACGGCCTTGCTCAAGCTGTACGCAGAGGCCGACCAGGACAGCCTGCTGGACCTGCTGGTGACCGAGAACTTCTGTCTGCTGACCGACAGCGCCGCCTGGCTGCAGAAGCACAAAAAGTGAGTGAACGCCCTCCTCCTGCCAGCACTGGGTGTGTGTGTCCCGCCCAGCCCTGCTGCACCCCACGCCAGGGCCCTGAGTGAGCGCTCTCCTCCTGCGGGTGCCGGGTGTGTGTGTGTGTGTGTGTGTGTGTATACGTGTATGTGTGTGTGTGTGTGTCCCGCACAGCCCTGCTGCACCCCACACCAGGGCCCTGAGTGAGTGCTCTCCTCCTGCCGGCACCGTGTGTGTGTGTGTGTGTGTGTGTGAGTGTGTGTGTGTGTGTGAGTGTGTGTGTGTGTGTGTGTGTCCCGCCCAGCCCTGCTGCACCCCACGCCAGGGCCCTTTGCCCAGAGACCACTGTGAAGCTGCTTAGCCAGTGCGACATTTGGCTTCTTAAGGATTTGTGCAGTAACTGCCTTGACATCACAGTGACGACAGGTGCCGAGCGCTCCTGGTCACATCCCTCTCGTCACCACGTGTGGGGTCTTAGAGGGCATTCATCCTCATACCTCTTCTTTAACGAGGCTTCCTGATCTGGTTGACACAAGCAGTAGTTTTAAAACTCTGCCTTCATCCATGCACAAGTTAGTAGGCAGCCTTATGTACAGTCGACAGTTAATACATAGTGACTGGCTTGATTAGGGCCAGCTGCTTCTTCCTCTGGGGCTGGTGGTCATGTAGCCCAACCGTTCTAAGCCTCAGTTTTCTTATTTTTAAAAATAAAGTGGGTTGGCCAGCACCGCGGCTCACTAAGCTAATCCTCCGCCTTGCGGCGCCGGCACACCGGGGTTCTAGTCCCGGTCAGGGCGCCGGATTCTGTCCCGGTTGCCCCTCTTCCAGGCCAGCTCTCTGCTGTGGCCCGGGAAGGCAGTGGAGGATGGCCCAAGTGCTTGGGCCCTGCACCCCATGGGAGACCAGGAGAAGCACCTGGCTCCTGGCTTCGGATCAGCGCGGTGCGCCGGCTGCAGCGCGCCATCCGCGGTGGCCATTGGAGGGTGAACCAACGGCAAGGAAGACCTTTCTCTCTGTCTCTCTCTCTCACTGTCCACTCTGCCTGTCAAAAAAATAAATAAATAAAAAATAAAGTGGGTGGAGTGGGAGCAAGCATTTGGCCCAGCAGCTAAGATGCCCGCTGGGATGCCAGCGTACCATATCACAGTACCTGGGTTTGATCCCAGCGACAGCTGCTGCCTCCAGTTTCCTGCCAGTGCAGGCCCTAGGAGGCAGCAGTGATGGCTCAAGTAATTAACTGGCTTCCTGCCACCCACATGGGAGACCCGGATTGAGTTGCTGGTTCTTGGCTCGGAGCTTTGATCACGGCCGTTGCAATCATTTGGGGAGTGAACCAGGGGATAGAAGCCCTTTCTCTGTCTCTGTCTCCTAGATAGATAGATAGATTGATTAAGGGATTGCTTTTAATATGAGAAGGGTTAGGTGAGCCCTCATGTTAAGATTTATTTATTTTTATTTGAGAGGCAGAGTTACAGACAGAAAGAGGGAGAAAGAGAGAGGTCTTCCATCTGCTGGTTCACTCCTGAAACGGCCACAATGGCCAGAATTGGGCTGACCCAAAGCCAGGATCCAGGAGCTTCTTCTGGGACTCCCACATGGGTACAGGGCCCCAAGCACTTCTGCTGCTTTCCTAGGCCATTAGCAAGGATCTGGTTTGGAACTGGAGCAGCAGGGGCTTGAACCGGCACCCATATGGGATGCCAGGGCCACAGGCTGAGGCTTAACCTTCTACGCCACAGCGCCAACTCCCAAGGTGATCCCTCATTTAAGCAGTAAGACTTTTGTCTGTATTTTTGTTAATGATTTGAAATGACACTCCTGTGGATGAAATCCCACAGAGACCGTGGGGGGTTACTCTACTGGATCCCATCCTAGTAGCTTCAGCCGTCGTCATGAGTTACTCAAATAGGCTGTAGAAAGGTATTCTACACGGAGTATCCCTTATCTAAAGTGCCTGGGACTGGCAGTGTTTCAGACTTTGTTTTCCACGATGCTTCAAACTCTGAAACTTTGAGCATCACATTGGCACTTAGAAAGACTCAGCTTCTGGATTTCAGATTTTCCACCGATCACTCCTGGTGGTGACTCAGGACTGACTCCATTGAGTCAGTATAACTTTCCAGAAAGTATAATATGGGAAGGATTCCTGCAGACACATCAGGATTTTGAGTTTGCTCTTAGAGGGGAGAGAGCCAGTCTCTTGCAAGGTCAACTTTTCTCTACTCATCTGCTAGGAAGGAGCATGACCAGGGACTGGCTCACCCACAGAACTTCAGGAGGAAAGAAAAAAAATAGGACTTTGGGAGAGTGTGGAGGGTGATGCCGATGTCATTGCTGGCCCTTTCCAATAGTAAATGAGGACTGAGGAAAATAAACTTCTCAAGGCCACACAGTTCACAAGTCAGGAAGCCTGGATTGCGGCTCAGGTTCTAGAACTCTCCCTCCGGGCTCTTCCTGACTTGTCTGTGATGGCCGGAGCCTGGACATTTACCGCTGTTGAATAGTCAGACTCCTCCTCTTGTTTCAGCCACTGCTCAGTACAGCTCTGCTTATTTGTTTAATACCCTGTGAGGGGTTAATAATAACACTTAACTAAGGATATGTGGGATTGTATATTCATATTTAGAGCAAATTGTAGAGCAATTTTATTTCTTTCTGAAGTATCATTATAGTTTTTTCTTTTCCAGCTCATCTTAGATTAGAATTGGATCCTTTTAGAAATGGACAAAACATGTGTTTTTTGTACCATAAATAAATAAATAATCCAAAATGAGGATGCTTTTGTGCTCAGAATTTACTGTTGATCTCTGAGTTAAGCAGGAGCAGGGTGAGGGGGTGTGAGGGTCGGAGGCCCCTTCAGAGGTGGTAGGGGGAGGTTGCACTGACCACCTTGTTCTCTTCCAGGTATTTTGCACTTGGATTGCTGTATCACTATAACAACCAAGATGCTGCTGCCGTTCAGGTGAGTTCAGAAGTGTTTCAGCATTATGTTAAAATTGGTACTGGTCACCAGGTGTTACTCTAAAAAAATCACAAATTACAGAGACCCACCTTTTTTATTGAGAAAGTAAATTCCTAGACGTGTTGGCTAAGGTTTGTCTTTTTTTTTTTTTTTTTTTTTTTTTGCCATTTAAAGAACATGATCAAGATAGAGTTTTTGGAAACTGAAGAATTTAAAATTAAAATTGTGATTTATTTCGTTAACCTTTTAATTGATACATAATCTTTGTACCAATGTGTAGGGGTACCATGGGATAATTTGATTGATGTACACAAAGTGTAATGATGAAATCAGGTTAATTTGTATACCCATCTCCTGAAATTTATCACTTCTTTCTGTTGGGAAACGTCACACTCTTCTCTTCTAGTACTTTATTTATTTTTTTAAAGATTTATTTATTTATTTGAAAGTCAGAGAAACAGAGAGAGGAGAGGCAGAGAGAGAGAGGTCTTCCATCTGCTGATTCACTGCCCAATTGGCTGCAACAGCTGGAGCTGAGCCAATCTGGAGCCAGGAGCTTCTTCCAGGACTCCCACACAGAAACAAGGGCCCAAAGACTTGGGCCATCTTCTACTGCTTTCCCAGCTCATAGCAGAGAGTTGGATTGAAAGTGGAACAGCTGGGACTTGAACTAGCACCCATATGGGATGCAGCTTTACCTGCTACGCCACAGTGATGGCCCCTCTTCTAGTACTTTATAGGATACATGATAAATTGTTATGATCTGTAGTCTCCTTGTTGTGTTGTGGAATAACATGACTTTTTGCTCCTGTCTAACTATATTTCAGTTCCCGTTATCCAGCCTCCCTCTAGTTCCTCTCCCCAGCATCCTCCCTCACCTCTACTTCTATACAATCAGCTTGAAAATATGACCCCTTACTGAGCTGCAAGGCTTGTGACGTCACTGCCTTATCAGAAAATTGAGATAGCGAATAGCAGTTGAGTTTATAGTCTTCACTGTCAGTGACATTAGCTCTTGTGAATTCTTTTTAAAGATTTATTTATTTATTTGAAAGAGTTACACAGAGAGAGTAGGAGAGGCAGAAAGAGAGGTCTTCCATCTGCTGTTTCACTCCCCAACTGGCCGCAATGGCTGGAGCTGCATCAATCCAAAGCCAGGAGCCAGGAGCTTCCTCTGGGTCTCCCACGTGGGTGCAGGAGCCCAAGGACCTGGGCCATCTTCTACTGCTTTCCCAGGCCACAGCAGAGAGCTGGGTCGGAAGTGGAACAGCTGGGTCTCAAATCAGCATCCACATGGGATACCGGCACTGCAGGCAGCGGTTTTACCTGCTGCGCCACAGCACTGGCCCCAAGATCTTGTGAATTCTTATGACCATGACTCCTGTGACAGCACAGAACTAATCAAGGCCACACTCCTGGTCACTGGTGAAGCTGGTGTCTGGCCCAGAATTCCAGGCAACCCAGCAGGGGTTCCACGTCTGAATCTGTAGAATGACATCCGGTTTAGCAATCTTTGTCTTGTATCTTACATGTTACTGCTGAGCTTGAAAAAAAAAAAAAAACTCATCTCACACTCTTCAACAGATTCTCTCCCTTCTGTTCTTTGTTATCCACTTGTTCTGCTTTGCATGGTGGTTTCCTGCTCTGCCATTTTTGTTTTGTTCTGTGAGCAGCCAAGAACATCCGCTGTATTCACCAGGCTAAAGGCAGCATCAGGAGTTTGGCAAAGAGAAACGTGGAGTCGATCTTTGGTTGCTTGAGAAATTGTCACTGGAATATGACTGTAGAGCACAGTTTAAAAAAATGAAAACCGGCTTTCCGTCCATGTGCACCCCGTGACAAAAGTAGATTTGGGGGTTAGAGATATAAGTTTTAGTTTTTAAAACATGACCTTGTCATGGCGCAGGTGTTTGGAGTAGTTGGTAAGACACTGCTCAGGATGCCTGCATCCCGTGCTGGAGTGGTGGTCGGGTGCCAGTCCTGGCTCTGCTTTCAATTGCAGCTTCCTTCTACTGTGCATCCTGGGAGGCAGCAGGTGTTCCGGGGTCCCTGCCACCCACGCAGGAGACCCGGATGGAATTTGTGCTCCTGGTTCCAGCCTGGTCCAGCCCTGGCTGTTGTCGGCATTCAGAGGGCAAACCAGCGGATGGAATATCTCTCCCTCTGTCTCTCTGCCTTTCGAATAAAATTAAAATAAGATTTTGAAGAATGTTTAAAAGAAATACTGTGGATTAAGTCTCCAAATATGGCACAATTCTATTTTAAAAAAACCCATTTCAGAGTATGAGTAAGTTACTTAGTTGGGAAGTACAGTGTGGAAGAAACAAGTGGAGGCCGAGTGGTCCAAATCCAAAACTCTAAAATACTCTAAAACCTGAAGCTTTTTGAGTCGGGACTTGAGGCCACAAGTGGAAACTTAGACAACATCACATTTTCAATTATGCGTGATATTGTTTAAAACATCGAGGGAACCGGCATTGTGGCGCAGCGGGGTAAGTCACCTCCTGTGATTCCAGCATCCCACATGAGCACCAGCTCCAACGCAGCTCCCTGCTAATGTGCCTGGGAATTCAGTAGAAGATGGCTCAGGTACGTCAGCCCCTGCCACTCATGTGGGAGACCAGAATGAAGCCCCTGGCTCTTGGATTCAGCCTGGACTACTGCTTGTCACTAAGGCCATTTGGGGGAGTGGATAGAAGCTCTGTCTGTCTCTCTGTCACTTCCTGTCTCTGTAATTCTGCCATTCAAACAAACAAATAAATAGATTTTTGAAAAGATTTATTTATTTATGTGAAAGGCAGAGTTACAAAGCGGCAGAGACAGAGAGAAAGAGAGGGAGAGGTCTTCCATCTGCTGATTCACTCTCCAGACATCCACAGTGGCCGGAGCTGGGTCAATCCGAAGCCAGGAGCCAGTAGCTTCTTCTGGGTCTCCCACATGAGTGCAGGGCCCAAGTACTTGGGCCACCTCTACTGCTTTCCCAGGCCATAGCAGGGAGCTGGATCTGAAGTGGAGCAGCCCGACTCGAACCAGCACCCACATGGGATGGTGGCACTGCAGGTAGTGGCTTTACCCACTACACCACAATGCTGGCCCCGATAAATAAATCTTAAAATAAAGTTAAAAAAAAAAAAAAAACTAACACTGTACAGGGGCCAGTGTTGTGGCACAGTGGGTTAAGGTGCTGCTTGCAATACTAACAACCCATATTGGAAGGCCTGTTCAAATGCTGGCTGCTCTGCTTCCAGTCTAGCTTCCTGCTAATGTGCCTGAGAAGGCAGCAGCAGATGACCCAAGTGCTTGGGCCTCTGCACCCACATGGGAGAGCTGGGTGAAGCTCTGGGCTCCTGACTTTGGCTTGGACCAACCCCAGCTGTTGTGGCCATTTGGCAAATGGAAAATCTCTGACTCTCCCTCTCTCTGACACTGTGCCTATCAAATAGATAAATATTTTTAAGACCATATGTAGTATAAAATTGCCTTTAGACTATGTGTGCAAGGTGTGTGTGTGTATAAGATATAGATAAGAGACTGGTGTTATGGCATAGTGGGTAAAGCTATGACACCGGCCGTGACACCAGCATCCCATATGGGTGCTTGTTTGAGTCCCAGCTGCTCCACTTCTGATCCAGCTCCCTATTAATGGCCTGGGAAAAGACACAAAAGATGGCTCAAATGCTGGGGCCCTTCCACCCATGTGGGAGACCCGGAAGAAGCTCCTGGCTCCTGGCTTTGTCTGGCCCAGCCCCAGCCATTATAGCCAACTGGGGAGTAAACCAGTGGATGGAATATCTTTCTCTTTATCTCTCTCTCTCCTTCTCTCTCTGTAGCTTTGACTTTCAAATAAATAAATAAATAAATCTCTAAGAAAAATACATAAATGAATTTCATGTTTAGTTTTGGTCCCATCCCCAAGGTGCCTTATTATGTATATATGCAAGTATTCCCAAATCTGAAAAGAGAAAAAAAAAAACAAAAAACAAAAAACTAAAACACTAAAGTCCAAAACCGCTTCTGGTCCTGAGCCTTTCCAGTAAGAGATGCATAGCCTGCATCCTGTGAACCCTGGGATGCTGCCATCCGAAGTGCAGTCTGTGCCGCCTGCCCTGCTTCTTGGGCTTCCTGCTGGTGCTGTGGCCCACAGAGGCAGCGCCGGGGACAGGTGGAGAAGGCTCGCGCACAGGTGGTGCAGCAGGAGTCTCTTCAAGCTCCAGCCTTCTGCCCCTGGTGATGCAGCCTCCCTCTGGGGCGCTGAAGGGGAGCGGCAGTTGACCTGCTAGGGAACTTTCTGGATGAAATAGCAAGGCTTTGTATCGTGGGAATCCATCCAGACCCTGCTGTGCGAAAGACAGCAGGAACACGAGGGGACAGAGACACCAGAGCTTTGTAAAAGGTGCAACATCTGCCTGTTCCAGTCTGGAGAAAGGGACTTCAAAAAATGAGAAGTCCTGTGGCAGAGCTGATGGGAATTGAGCCAGTCAGATGTTTGCAGGTGAGTTTCTCCTGTGTCACCATATCATCAGAGACCATTGCATTTATTTCATGAGAAACTTTTTTTTTAATTTGAATTTTGTTTTTTCTATTTATTTAAAAGGCAGAAAAACAGATCTTCCATCTGCTGGTTCACTCCCCAGATGCCTGCAAAAGGGGAGAGGGGCTGGGCCAAGCTGAAGCGAGGGGCTCCGAACCCGGTCTGGGTCTCCCGTGTCAGTGGTGGGGATCCTAGTACTGGAGCCATCACATCTGCCTCTCAGAGGGCACATCTGTGGGAAGCAGGGCCGGGACTTGAACCCAGGCACTCTGATATGGGATGCAGGGTTCCCAAGCACGTCCTGCCAAATGCCGGCTGCAAGGAAACATTTTTAATCATTCGTCTCTCCCTGTCAGTTGTAGTTACCATTTGCTGTACTACCTTAATGAAAGAGAGGGTGGGAGTCAGGGAGGGAGGGAGGAAGGAAGGAAGGAAGGAAGAAAACAAACTCAGGGGTGTGTATTTTTGATTTCCTGAATCATCTATTTTTGCATTTCTTTAAAAAAAAAGATTTATTTATTTGAAAGGCAGAGTTTCAGAGATAAGAGGGTAAGGCAGAGGCAGAGAGAGAGAAGTCTTCCGACTTCTTTGGGTTCACTCCCCAAACGGCCTCAGCGGCCAGAGCTGCTCCAACTTGAAGCAAGAGCCAGGAGCTTCTTTTAGGTTTCCCACGTGGGTGCAGGGGTCTGAGCACTTGGGCCGTCTTTTGCTGCTTTTCCAGGTCATTAGCAGGGAACTGGATGGGAAGTGGAGCAGTCAAGACTCAAACCAGAGCCCATATGGGATGCCAGCGCTGCAGGCGGTGGCTTTACGGGCTATGCCACAGTGCCGGCCCCTACATTTATTTCCGAAAAAAAAAAAAAAAAATGGATCTCAATTTAAACATTTGCAATTCTTCCTCCTACTGCAAAAGGCCAAGTAAGTGCGCATAAGCCCTGCCTCAGCTGAATTCTGCAAGGTGTGTAACTTTCCCTTTCTTTCCATCTGTGTTCTTCCCAGCTGTGGGTGAGCATCGTGAACGGGGACGTGCAGGACTCCACGCGCGCTGACCTGTACGAATACATCGTTGACTTCCTCACCTACTGCTTAGACCAACAGCTGGTGTGGGCCTACGCGGACTGGCTTCTACAGAAGAGCCAGGAGGTATGTGCTTCACAAGTTGGGGCAAAAACCGGAGAGAAAAACTCTGGTCAGCATCTTCTTACAAACTTGTGTTTTTCAGCTGTCTCTATAGACACACAGCCTGGCCCTGTTGTCTTGTGGAGCAGGATCAGGCTGCTGTCCTGCAGGGCTTGGTCCTTAGCACCAGGCAGCCCCCACCCGCCCAGGCCTGGGCCATGCACTCCTTGTCTGCTGTATCCACCATGGCGTGGAAGGTTGCAGGCTGCAGAGAAGTGGGAGCAGCCCATCATGGAGGCCGAGGAGTGTCAACAGTGAAAAAGCACTGGTTGACGATTGACGGCCTGCTCAGGACAGAAGGACCAAAGCCTTAGTGACACCGCATGGATGGGTGGGAGTCAGATAGCAGGCATGTCAGTCCTTGCCACTCATAGCACGCACTTTCTGTTAGCTCCCTTTGGAGAGACAGAATGAGCCTTCTGATGCAGGGGGGCTGTCTCCAAAGCAGAGACTGGGAATGTCGCCCCTGCCTTGGAAAACCCAGCCCAGCACGCATGGTATTCTCCTGTCCTCCATCAGGCTGTGTTAACTGCAAGGTTGGGGTCCACATACTTTGTGGATTCTGCCCCATCCTTACTCTGGCTCTGGGCTCGTGCCCCAGAAAGCAATACCCAGCATGCTCACACATACCTGTGACACAGTTTTAGTGCCATTGAAAGGTACAGGCTCTTCCCAGGGGTCACGGATGCCAGCCAGAGACACACAGGATTCTCTGTGCCACGTCACAGCGCAGTCTCTTGACATGTGTCATCTCTTAATTTTTTTATATGTTTCATGGACACATAAAAATTGTATGTGTTGGAATGGACATTTGGCCTCGTGGTTAAGATGCCCATATTGCACATCAGAGTAGCTGGATTCAAGGCCTGGCTGTGGCTCCTGACTCCAGCTTCCTGCTAATGCAGACCCTGGGAAGCAGTGGTGGTGGCTTAAGTAATTGGGTTCCTGCCACTGTCATAGGAAAGCCTGGGTTTAGTTCCCAGCTCCAGCCTAACCCAGCCCTGGCTGTTGGCAGGTGTTTGGGGGAATGAACCAGCAGATAGAAGGAAGCTCTCTTTCTCTAATTCTGCCAAATAAATATATATATGTATGGGGTACCATATGACATTCTGATCTATGCACACATCGTGTAGTGTTCAAATCAGGGTAAATATATCTGTATCCTTAAACATAATTTCTTTGTGGTGAGAACATCAAAATCCTTTCTAATAGCTTATGTCATTTCTTTTAAATGCCACAGCAACTCACAAAGAGGTTCCTGGAGGTTTAGAAACTTTCCTACTGTCATAGCTTATACAAGGGGATTTCAAAAAGTTCATAGAAAAATGGAACTAAGAGAAAGCTTTACTTTGTTGCAAAGGAGTGGAAATCATACAGTTTTTCCATAATACACATTTCCATGGATTTTTTGAAGACCCTCTCTACATTGAACTCAGAATTTATATTTGCAACAGCTATGCTGTCTTTCTCATCTTTTGAGGTTATGACACGTGTGCTTTTACATGAGATCTTCAAAAAAGTTCAGGAATAATGTGTGTTATGAAAAACTATGCATGATTCTAAAAATTTTTTACATCAAAAGAAATTTATCTTTTAATTCCACTTTCCAATCTTTTTTTTTTTTTAAGGTTTATTTGAAAGAATGACAGAGAAGGAGACAGGAGAGAGAGATCTTCTACCTGCTAGTTCACTCCCCCCACCACCACCATGGCTACAACAGCCAGGTCTGGGTCAGGCTGAAGCCAGGAGCCAGGAACTCCATCCTGGCCTTGCACTTGGGTGCATGGAGCCTAAGTACCAGGGCCATCTTCTACTGCCTTCCCAGGCACATTAGCAGGAAGCTGGATCAGAAGTGGGGCAGCCAAGGCTTGAACCAGCTTTCATTTGGCATGCCAGCAGCACAGGTGGCAGTTTGTGCCACCATGCCACAATGCCAGCCCTTCCACAAACTGTGGCAGGGTAGGCACAGGATGGATTTACTTCCCTGCCCGTCTCATCAGAATCTCTCTGGAAGACAGACAGGGACCAGCACATGGCACTTGACAGGCAGGGGCAGAAGGCACAGACCTCTGGTCAACCATGTCTGGCAAATGGTCCATCAAGGAGAACTGAGCTCACTGTATCCATCTCTATCACTTTTATGACTGTATCAATCTCTGTATCAGTCTCTACAGTCAATCACTGTATCAATCCCCAGCACTCTTGAAAGGCAAGTGAGCATCCCTGTTACTGTTACAAAGCTGCTGTCGCACCATGTTACCAGTAAACGTGCCATCCCTTAGCTTCCGAGCCTCTTTTTTTTTTTTTTTTTTTTTTTTTTTTTTTTTTTGACAGGCAGAGTGGACAGTGAGAGAGAGAGACAGAGAGAAAGGTCTTCCTTTTTGCCATTGGTTCACCCTCCAATGGCCGGCGCACCGCGCTGATCCGATGCCAGGAGTCAGGTGCTTTTCTTGGTCTCCCATGGGGTGCAGGGCCCAAGCACGTGGGCCATCCTCCACTGCACTCCCTGGCCACAGCAGAGAGCTGGCCTGGAAGAGGGGCAACCGGGACAGAATCCGGCGCCCAACCGGGACTAGAACCCGATGTGCCGGTGCCGCTAGGTGGAGGATTAGCCTAGTGAGCCTCGGCGCCGGCCAGCTACCTAGCCTCTTAAGAGACAGTCCAGTGGGTTGTCCTAGGAGGGTGTCAGTCTCGGCTGCCTCTCCTGTCTTCTGTCTGCTCCCTGGTCTTTCTCAGTGCTTCTTGATGGACTGTTTTTCTCTGTCACCATAATTTTTTTAACCCACTTGATTGACATTTGAAGAACTAGACATATTTAATGTAGCATATCCCTTTTTTAAAAAAAAATTTTGATTTGTTTATTTACTTGAGAAAAAGAGAGCTTCCATCCACTCCCTAAATGTCCACAAGGATCGGGGCTAGAGGCTAGGCCAAATCTAGAAGCTTGGCATTCAAGCCAGGTCTCCCCCGAGCGGCAGGACACCAGTTACTTGAGCTGTTAGTGTGTCCCCACCCCTCACCCCGCCAAGTGATTGCATTGGCAGGAAGCTGGAGTCAGGAGCTGGAACCAAGTGTCGAGCTCGGACATGGGCAACTTAACTGCTAGACCAAGAACCTACCGCAGAGTGTGAACGTGCAGGGTGCAGGATAAAGACAAAGAGAAGGTGGCTTTGAAAGCATAGTAACCAAGTCGCTCCTCCTGTTGCAGGTTGGAGTTCAGGTTTTCACCAAGAGACCTCTGGACGGACAGCAGGACAGTTTCAACCCAGACGATATTATCAGCTGCCTTAAAAAGTACCCTAAAGCCCTGGTTAAATACCTGGAACACCTCGTGATGGACAGGGGGCTGCAGGTGAGTCCTCAAAGCTCAGGCTGGGGCAGCCTGCAGAGCTCCTGCAGTGCCTTAACAAATGCACCTTGACTGTATAAGGTTTTTGACGGAGGGTTCTGATGTCCCATTTTACATTCCCTGGGTGCTCAGTCAGTCCTTGCTGATGGTTTGAGGGGGACTTAAGGCTTGGTGACAGATACCTTGCGTCCTAGGCAGGTTTTTTTTTTACACCCTATCCTGTGTCCTAGATTCTTTTTCTCTTTCCCTTCTTTGTTACAATCCTTAAAGGAAATGGGAAAAGCTGGGCTCCTCTGGAGAACCCCTACACCTATGGCCCTTACTTCCCAGGGTGAGGAGTAACCCCACTGTGTATCCCCCACGGACTCTAAACTCATCCCCTCTGCGTGGAGGTGTCGGAGAAGTCTCCAGGGCAGCCACGTTGTCCACTGTCTTTGGAGAATCCAGCACAGCTCCCCCGCACAGCCCTGGCCGTGGCGGTGTGACTGCCTGCTGACTTGCAAACGCCCTGTCTGCTTGGCTCCCTGTGTCCTGCAGAAAGAAGAATACCACACCCACCTAGCCCTCCTCTACCTGGACGAGGTGCTGCAGCAGAGGGCGTCTGCCAACGACAAGGGGGCCGCAGCCACGGAGGCACAGGCCAAGCTGCGGCAGCTGCTCCAGAAATCCGACTCGTACCGAGTCCACTTTCTGATAGGTGAGGATGGTCTCAAGTCTTCTCTCCATGGACAGACATGTGTCAGGGGACTGGGGGGTGGATGGGAGGGACAGAGAGGCAGACCATGGCCCAGCTCCGGGGTTGATTCCTCAGGGAAGGGCAAGGTGCCTCTTGCTCTCACCTCCAGAGGTGGACAGCACCATTGACTGATGACATCAGAGGTGCCCAGTAGAGTCTGAACGTCTGCGTGTCTCTTGACCATACCTCCATTCCAATTGCTCTGCTCAGCATTGAAGCACTGAATAGTTCCTTCCAGTGACTCCAGGTCAGCCACCCCTCGGTGTCCACTGGAAATTGGTTCCAGGACACCAGGCATACCAAACTCTGCACAGGCTCAAGTCCCATGGCATCATATTTGCATATGACCTGTGCACTTCCTCCTACATACTTGAAGTCATCTGTAGGTTCTTTGTAACACCCAAGTGCAATGCGCACGCTATGTCATCAGCCGTTATACTGTGTTGTCTCGGGAAGGCAGTGCAGGTATCCTAGACAGGCTCCAGGTTCCACTGCTCGGGGGTGCAGAAACCACAGTTTCTATATTTTTTTAATAAATATTTTATTTATTTGAAAGAGAGAGAGAGAGAATTTCCCATCCTCTGGTTCACTCCCTAGGGCTGGGCCAGGCACTTTATGTCCTGGCTGGGCCAGGAGCCAGAAACTTTTTGCAGGTCTCCCACCTGGATGGCAGGGGCCCGAGTATTTGAGTCATCTGCTGCTGCTTTCCCAGGCACATTAGCAGGGAACTGGGTCAGAAGTGGAGCAGCTGGGGCTTGAACTGGTGCCCGTATGGGATTTTGGCGTCCCAGGCCGTGGCACCATCTGCTGCGCCAGTTCCCATAGTGTAGAAGGGGCCATTGAGCAGGTGGGTACTCACACCTGGTAGAACAAAAGAGCTTTTTGGCTGTCCTTGATGACATTGAATTTTTGGGTTTGTGCTTTGTCGAGGGTAAGTCACAAGTTTCTCTTTACCAGACAGCGGCTTTACCCGCTACGCCACAGCACCGGCCCCTGTTGATCAGTTTTTAGTCTCCCAGCTTTAGGTACAGACAGTGTGTCCAGTGTACTCTTGTGCATTGAGGACATAAAGATGGGTGAGACTTGCATCTAATCCTCAGTGTAATGGGAAGACAGAGGAGGCCTGAGGAAGTTGTAGACAGGACAGGGGCCCGGAAGAGCTTCCTGGAGGAGGTACTGTTTGAGCAGTCGTAACAGGCAAGTTTGCATGAGCGGGGGAGCTTGCAGGCCATGGTGGGCACTGAAACTCAAATGCCTGAGCTTGTGCCCCTGGTTAGGTAGGTGACTTGGGCGTGTGGCAGTAGGGACACCCAGCCTGCCCCCTGCAGGCGGGGTGGGAATGCAGCAGCAATGAGGCGGTGCACGTAGAGGTGTGAATCCCCAGTCTTCTTCTCTTCCATCTTTGCATCTCGCCCGGTGCTTTCAGTAGTAGTCACTTGTTGGCAGCCACTGTGACGGTGACGGTGTCCTTGGAGTAGCCTTTCACAGTCGGAACAGACCTTGTTATTGTCCCATTTTCCAGGTGGGGTGGGGAGCAAAGTGAGGCCCACCAGGCGCAGGGCCTCGGTCAGAACAGAAGCTTCCGTTGGGTTATGTCCCCTTCCTTGTGGCCTGGAAGATGAATTGCATGAGAAAGAAAAGAAACTTTCTGTTTCCGTTTTCAACCTTTTGTTGAACACTCTTAGTACAGATTTTGGATACTGTGAGCGCATATTCCCTTCAATGAAGTCTATTTTAAATTGCAAAAAAGGGATTCAGTACACCATTTAGGGCAGGTGGTCTTTGTCCGGATTTGACCTCCCGTCAGCCCCCTTGTTGTTTTAGGTTCTGTGCAGGCTATTTTTTTTTTTCATTGTTCACCAAACAATGTAGCATAACAGCTCTTCCAGTAGCATTTACATTGTGTTGGGTACTGTAAGCCAGGTACGCAGGAGGTGTGCGTAGATTAGATAGGAATACTGTAAGGGACTTGAGCGTCCTTGGGTTTGGGTGTCTGAGGGGGGATCCCCGGATGTGGAGGGAATACACTGCAGTGTCCTCTTGAACTAGAAGATTCTGCACGAGGAAGACAGGAACACTGTAGGGTGACTTGGAGAGCTGGAGCCTGGGTGATTCACGGGGGTCTTGGGAGGTCCCCAGTCACTGCTTTGATTCTGTAGCCATTCTGAGGAGCGTCTGTCTCGCACGTCACAACCTCCCAGATCTGCACCTGTGTGGCAGCATCTAGCCACGGAGCACCCCAGGGTAGCCAGCCCAGGCCCCTTCCGAAGCTCAGAGCAGCTGGAAGGCGGTTGCATTTCTGAGTGTCCCCTCTGGCCCACAGAGAGGATCCAAGGCGCCGGCCTGCCCATGGAGAGCGCCATCCTGCACGGGAAGCTGGGCGAACACGAGAAGGCCCTGCACATCCTGGTGCACGAGCTGAGGGACTTCGGCGCGGCCGAGGACTACTGCCTGTGGCGCTCGGAGGGCTGCGACGCCCCCTGCCGCCGGCGCCTCTTCCACACACTGCTCACCCTGTACCTGCACGCCGGGCCTTCTGCCAACGAGCTGGCCATGGCCGCTGTGGACCTGCTCAACCGCCACGCCCTGGAGTTCGATGCGGCGCAGGTGCTGCAGCAGCTGCCCGGCTCCTGGTCCGTGCAGCTGCTCTGCCCCTTCCTGACCGGGGCCATGAGGGACAGCGTGCACGCCAGGAGGACCACACAAGTGGCCCTTGGCCTGGCCAGGTCAGAAAACTTGCTCTACACGTATGATAAGGTGAGTGCCTGCCCCCCTGAACAGGTTCACTGCTCCTCCTCTTGCGCACTGACCACTGGGACAGCGTATGTTCTGGAAGTAGAACAGCATCAGATTAGCCTGCCGGCCCCATCCCGGACACTTCCTGCCTTGACGTCATTCCGTCACCAGAGCAGTGCTGGTGGTGTCCACTGCCGTCACAAAAGAGGCAACAGAGGCACAGAGAAGTCCCACGGTGTGTAAATGGAAGCCCGGAGGTCCCCCCAGGCTGGTTCAGAACCCCACATCCATGGTGCCAAGCCCTGCCCTCTTCTGGAGGCTTCTTACGTGTGCAGCCCGCCCTCCACACGTGGCTGGCAGCGTGGTCTTCCCAGCGCTGGGACCCCACGTGTCCCCCCATGCTTAGAAGTCTTCCTTCTCTGCTTCCCCAGGCAGCATCACCTTCGTAGGTCCCTCTCTGGGTACTGCTTCCCAGCCCGTACCCTGGCTGTAGCCTTGTGGAAACTTCCACATGCATCCTGCTCTTTCGGAGCCCCTCGCCTTTTGCACGTGCTGTTCCCACCCCCTGAGACGCTCACCGTTTCCTTGGTGCCTGGTGATGCCTTGTCCAAGCTCAGCCAAGCCCCCTTTCCTTAGCAGGTGCATCACCTTCCCTTTGGTCTACCGTGCACCTGCGGTGTGCATTCCTAATGGTCTCCCCTTACTCTCAGGCTTCAGGTTCTTGGAGGACAGGAAACTATCTCAGTATTTCCCTCTAACAGGGGTGGGGAGCCTTTTTTCTGCCCGAGGCCATTTGGGTATGCATAACATTTAGATATGTATAAAATTTACAGGTGCCCCCTTCCCCAAAACTACCAACCTGGAAATGAGCCTGCTGTAGATTTCTGGGCAGGGCAGACTAAATGATTTCCGCTCATGGGCTGGGCGTTCCCCACCCCTTCCCCAAAGCCAAGACTGACGTGTTGCAGGCATTTAATGAATGATTGTTGACTGCCAGATGTAACGACAGTACCAAGCTGCCGATGGATCGGCTAATAGACTGACTTGCCTGGGTTGCCGTAGTACGTGGCGCAGACCCTGTAACTCACAGAGCTCAAGTCCTACTAGGTATTAGATTGGGGCCGGTGGCACCATAGCTCTGTTTCCTTAGCTACCTCTAAAGAAATGAAATGGCGTTCCCCAGGCACAAATGTGCACTGACTAACTGAATGATTTTTCAGTGCACGCCTTGTGTGTGCCTCACTCTCTTACTTGCAAATGGGGGGGGGGAGGGACCAGGGACTCAGATGACTTAGAAGGTCCTAGTCAACTCTGACACTGTTATTTTATTTTTTTTTAAGATTGATTTATTTGAAGGGCAGAGGGAGAGAGGGAAAGAGAGAAAGAAGGAGAGAGGGAATCTTCCATATACTGCTTTACTCCCCAAATGCCTGCAACAGTCAGAGCTGGGCCAGACCAAAGCCAGGAGCCAGAGGCTCCTTCTGGGTGGTTCTCTCACGTGGGTGGCCTGAGCCATCTTCCCCTGCCTTACCAGGCACATTAGCAGGGAACTGCAAGTGGAGCAGCCAGGTTGCGAACCAGCGAACTGGTGCTGGATGCTGGTGTGTCAAGCGGCCGCTTAACCTGCTGCACCACGAGGCTGGCTGCATTCTTGGTTGTATAACAGGCGCAGCTTGAGAAGATCAGAGCTCAGGTAACGCTGTGTGAAGGGTCTACAATAGCAGTACTGCAGCCAGACAAGCAACCGTTACTTGTAAAATCAGAAAAGCCAGGTGGGGTGAGAAGTGTGTCTGTGGATTTGCACCCCTGGCTCTCCGCTCCAGGAGGCTAATAGAAAAACAGCTCTGGTCCCTGGCGCTGAACCCTGGAAAGCGGCCGCTCCGGTCTCAGGCTCTCTGCCGGCTTTCTCAGTCTCGGTTTCTGTTTCGCAGATGAAGTTGAAAGGAGGCGCCATTCGGCTCTCGGACAAAAAGCGCTGTCAGCTGTGCCAGAATCCTTTCGGCGAGCCCGTGTTTGTGAGATACCCAAACGGCGGGCTCGTGCATGCCCACTGCGCTGCCAGCAGACACACAAGCCCCGGCTCCCCCAGCCCCGGCTCGCGGACTTGAGCGGCTCGGGCCCCCCAGACACCAGGGGGGCTCCGAGGTCCTTCTCGAGCCTGCCGGACGCGAAGGGCGGACAGCAGCCGCGCTGTGCTTCGGCCAGGACAGCGGGAAGACTTCCATGTGTCCAGGAAACGTCAGTCCACGCGAGACATGCACACTGCCGACCGCCGCCTGAATGCACATGGAAAACTCCCACAGATACACAGATGGGCCACAGGTTACCTGTCCGGCTACACAGTGACCCAGAGCAAAGGTCAAAAAAGGGAGTCTTCCTCATGCAATCCAGACACAAGCGGGGGACCCCGACATCTGCATTGGACATGCACTGCACCTGCACCTGCGTGGGTGTGGAGAAGCAGCCCTTTCGCGCCAGGCTGCAGAGCCCTTGGGTGGGCCACCATGCTTTCCCGCCACCTGGGCTCTCGGCCTTTGCCCCGAGAAACGGCTGACCCTAAGGAAATGGGTCCGGGTCCTTCTTACTCCCTGTCTGGCTCCCAGCCCACCCCAAACCACCCCTTCCCAAATTCTGCCTTGCTGACCCCAGCACTCATTTTGGGGGTAAATTCCCATGCTTCTGCCTCCCTACCAGGTAACGATCCATTCAATACCCATAAAGCTCCAAGAGAGAAGCCGTGTCCCCTATCCTGCGCAAGACGGCGCAAACCCAGAGCCCGCAGCTGCCACCTGTGCAGTGCAGGTACAGGGGCCCCTGGGCCGTGCGCCTGTGCTGAGGCCTCGCCCACCGACGGGAAGATCCGCTGTGGGCATGTGGGCGAGCGTTTTTATTGGACTCCTGTGTTCCTCTTGTTTAGAAACCTACCAGTCCTATTCGTTAGGATCAAGTTTTCTTGTTAACTCATACCTCCTCCTGAGCACCCGGCAAACTACAAGGGAAGCAGGGTGGACTAATCCGAGCCTTCTCCTTTTTAACCTCCTGCTGTGCACCTGCCGGAGGCCCCGCCCCTCCTGGCAGGTGCTTCAGCCCCCTGCGAGGAGGCCGCCTCCCCTCCACGCACTTTGCGTGCCCTGCTCTGAGGCTTCCTGAAGACACCCATAGCAGGGTGCAGCTTCATTTTGTGTTTCTGTGCAGCATCTGGGGCAGGCTGAAGCTGTGGCTCCTTCCCTGCCGCTTGTGGATCCCTTCATCGTGCTTGTAGACTCAATTGGAGACCATCCTTAAGGATAGACGCAGCACCCCTCCGCCACCACCTTAGTGCTTGGAAAACTGCGCGTGATGAGGGGACCCGGAAATGCACCCTCTCTCCAAGTCAGCCCGAGCCTTAGAGAGCTTATCTTCCACTCTTTAAAACATGTCTCTTGTGCTAATCATGGTCATTGTATTTTTTTCCTTTTTCTGGTTCCGAGTGGGCCAAGATGCAAAAACATCCCTGCATTATTTGGAAAGAATCAGCACCCTCCCCCGCCCCCACCCCCACCCCCGTATTTCAGGCATCTAAAGAACAAGTGATGTAGAAATTCTCCTTGTAGCTCAACTCTATGCTGTATCAATTGGTCTGAGCTCAAAGTTGGATCATGAGTTTGACCCCCCGTGGCTAACTCTTAGGGAATGGTCATCTGATTGTGTAGAGTTTGATTTTATGTTCTCCTAAGAACCAGTTACCAGGACATGCAGCATTGCACTTTGGAAAGCACAGTTTTGGTGTGCACAAGATGGGTAAAACCTTGAAAAGGGCTCGCGTCCCCTCCTCCTTCGCTTAAGGACACTGCATTCTTCCATCAACATTGACCCGTGTCTCACGATGTGTTTGTCACCCTGCAGGATAACAGGAAGCAAAGGTGAGCTGTTTTCCAGCTCCTGAATCCGTTAACAAAGCAGAATCCTAGGAAAATGTGCAGAATAGTACGTTCAAAACCATGCCTCTCTCCAGCCTTCTGTCACTGTACAAGGCCCTTTATCTCTACTATATTTAAGAGAAAATACAGGGTTCTTTCTAATAGGCCTGCTGTTTTGTGACTGTGCCGTTGAATAGAGCAGTTAGAACCGTCACTCAGACTCCTCCCCTACCCCGTTAGGCTCAGTGTAATCATTCTAGTGTGAAAACAGCATGAACGGAACGCGGTTCACGTCAGTGTTTCACGGGCAGCCCTCTTAGTTGTATGAAGTGTTTGTCTGCTGTTGCTGATCATGTATTCACACGGCAGCGTGAGCTTGGCGGCGTGCTCACGTCGGGAGTATGGGAAGGGGCTGAGGGCCACACCTCCACCTGGATGGCCATTGCACAACGAGGGTGGCCCTTGTGCCCCGCCTGCTGTCCCGCAGAGAACTGTGTCCTTGCAACATCTTTTCCTTCACCCCTGATTGGGTCCCAGATACACAAGATGTACAAATGTAAACTTGTTGATTTTATTAAAATTCTTCTAATTCTTTGTTCTTCCTGCATTTTTTTTAAATAAAAATGACCCTGATATGGTGGTTTCCACTCACACCATACCTCCTCCAAGGAGGTCTAGAACGTAGTTGCCATCCCTACTGGCTGCTGCCAGCGCCTGCAGAGGACCCACGTCCTGTGTCTGTCTTGCTGAGAGGTGACTGGGCCACTCTGAAGTCCTGTGTTGCCTTCAGGGGGTCATGCACCGGAGAATTCAACCCAGGAGAATGTTGCTGACTTCCTGCGTGGCTCGCCAGCCGCTCCGAGGTAAGCACGCTGCCTCTGGATTTCGAACCCTGAACATACATGAGAAATATGGTTTTTTGAAAACCTCACCTCTGATGCCGGCGCCGTGGCTCACTAGGCTAATCCTCCTTCTTGCGGCGCTGGCACACTGGGTTCTAGTCCCTGTCGGGGCGCTGGATTATGTCCCAGTTGCCCCTCTTCCAGGCCAGCTCTCTGCTGTGGCCTGGGAGTGCAGTGGAGGATGGCCCAAGTGCTTGGGCCCTGCACCCCATGGGAGACCAGGAGAAGCACCTGGCTCCTGCCTTCGGATCGGCGTGGTGCGCTGGCCGTGGCAGCCATTGGAGGGCGAACCAACGGTAAAAGGAAGACCTTTCTCTCTGTCTCTCTCTCTCTCTCTCACTATCCACTCTGCCTGTCAAAAAACAAACAAACAAACAAAAAAAACCTCACCTCTTAGGTTTTACTTCATTCCCTGGAACATCACTGATAGCGAGGCTTTGAAAAACAAGCCCGTTGAATTTCCCAGCAGGCCTGTTGAGTTTCTCATGGTCTTTCATCCCAGCTACCGTTCTGTCTCCCAAGGAAAGCGTATGTTCGCATAGGTGAGATCCCCTGACTATTCGAACGCCATTCTTTTTTTTTTTTTTTTTTTTAAGATTTATTTGAAAGTCAGAGTTACACAGAGAGAGAAGGAGAGGCAGAGAGAGAGAGAGAGGTCTTCGATCCACTGGTTTACTCCCCAATTGGCCGCAACGGCCAGAGCTGCGCTGACCAGGAGCCAGGAGCTTTTTCCGGGTCTCCCATGCAGGTGCATGGGCCTGAGGACTCAGGCCATCTTTTACTACTTTCCCAGGCCATAGCAAAGAGCTGGATTGGAAGTGGAGCAGCCGGGACTAGAACTGGCACCCTTATGGGATGCTGGCATTGTAGGTACTGCCTTTACCTGCTATGCCACAGCGCTGGCCCCTCTAACCTGATTCTGATGCCACTTAAACTTCGTGTGGGGAGAGGTGAGGTGTCAGGACCCACCTGTGTTGAAGATGGAAGAAGCCAAGGTGCCCAGTGAGTGTTCAGGTGACTGGGAGTTTCAGTGGGCACCACCCCACCCAGCATTCCAGTTCCCACGTGCACATTCCCCTGCCTGGTGCTTCACCAAAACCCAAACCAAGAGGCAACCAGAAGCCAACCCAGGGTAGACTGCATTCAAACTGTACTGTGGCTGCTGTTAGAAAACCATAACGTGGCAACTTTAGTTATCTTACCATTTTTTATAGATGGTTTTTTGGTTTATAATTTCCTTGACTTATTTTTTTAAAAGATTTATTTATTTTGAAAATCAGAGTTACACAGAGGAGAGGCAGAGAGAGAGGTCTTCTATCCGCTGGTTCACTCCCCAGTTGGCCACAACGGTCAGAGCTGCGCCGATCAGGAGCCAGGAGCTTCTTCCAGGTCTCCCATGTGGGTGCAGGGCCCAAGGACTTGGGCCATCCTCCACTGCTTTCCCAGGCCGTAGCAGAGAGCTGGATCAGAAGTGGAGCAACTGGGACTCGAACCAGTGCCCATATGGGATGCTGGCACCACATGCAGTGGCTTTACTTGCTACACCACAGCGCTGGCCCCAGTCTTACCATTTTATATCATGAGTGACCTCTGCACTTTTCAGCTTATTCGAGGACAATCCAGTGGAGGGGAGAGAGACGTTTGGATGGACAAACCTGGCTGGGAAGGAGGAAGCTGCAAGCTCATGGTGAACTGTAAGAAAGACAGCGGCCGAGACAAGGCCAAGTGCTGAGAGGCAGGAAGTGTGATTCCATGTCCTGAGTGCGTGTGTGTGTATGTTGGTGCAGGCAAAGACTGGCATCTGACGTGGTTAAATGAGCTGTGACTCATGTTAGGAGTAATTAGATATTAACGAACACTCCATTTGCTCCTCGCAGATCTGTCAGCCTGCGCATCTGAAATGAAACTGTGCAAGAATCTAGACCATATGGACTGGAGGCCTTTTCACCTTTGCAAAAAAAGAAAAAGCTAAATGGCTGGAGCACCGTCTAAAAGCTTGTTAACACATTGTTCAGAGGCAGCACTTGAATTAATGAAGCCTGCTTTTCTTTAGCTTGCAACCAGGGAAGGGAAACAAATGGCTCTCATTCAGTCTGCAGTCCAGGGTCGTAAATTAGTTCAATGAGATCACGTGCCAAGACAAGATTAGAAAGCAATGCACACAACTCTGCCAGCCGAGTGCGCCTCGAGAAGTAAAGTGTCAGAGTGGGGGAAACCCGACTCCCAGTGGGCTCTGACACCCTCCATGGAGGCCCTGGGCGTGTCCACCTCCACCGTGGTGGTCTGGTCCATAAACGGAGCTGGCCAGTACCTGAGGTCCTTACAGCTGCAAAGCTAATGTTCTAAGCAAGGGAGACCAGGGTAGGGTAGTGGGTAAGGTCTCAGCCTTGGATGCAAGATCTGGGGTAGCCCCAAGTAGAACCCAGCACAGGAACTATATGGCACCCCATGGGCATGTCCCAGTGAGTGTGTGGAGCACTGTAGGATCTCACTGCATGGCCCTGTGATGAGAAAAGTGGCTTTCAATTCAGCCAACACCCCCAAACACACACACGTGCACACACATACACACACACACGCTGACAAGTCATGAGAGGAGCTGGGTTACATATGTCCTTGTCAAGTCCTGGTTGCTCCGCTTCCAATCCAGCAGCTTGCCAATGCACCTGGGAAAGCAACAGAAGATGGTCCAAATGCTTGAGCCCCTGCCACCCACTTGGGAGACCCGGATTAAGCTCCTGGCTGGTGACTTCAGCCTAGCCTTGCTCTGGCCATTGTGGCCGTCTGGGGATGAACTAGTGGATGAAAGGTTCTCTCTCTCTCTCTCTCTTTCTCTCTCTCTCTCTCTCTCTCTCTCTCTCTCTCTCTCTCTATGTCTCCCTTTCTCTAAATCTGACTTTCCAAAATAAATCTTTAAAAAACAAAAGATGCTCACATCTTATATTGAAGCACCTCGGTTCAACACCTCGCTCTGCTCCTGATGCCTGTTTCCTGCTAATGTAGACCCTGGGAGGCAACAGGTAGGTGATAGCTCAAGAAGTTGGGTCCCTGCCACCCACATGGGAGATGTAGATTGTTCCCAGCTCCTGGTTTCCTGGCTGCCATGGACAATTTAGGAGTGAACCAGGGGCCGGTGCTGTGGCATGGCAGATAAAGTCACCGCCTGCAGTGCTGGCATCCCATATGGGCAGTGGTTTGAGTCCTAGCTGCTCCACTTCCAATCCAACTCTCTGCTGCGGCCTGGGAAAGCAGTAAAAGATGGCCCAAGTCCTTGGATCCCAGCACCCCTGTGGGAGACCCAGATGAAGCTTTTGGCTCCTGGCTTCAGATCAGATCAGCCCAGCTCTGGCTGTTGCAGCCATGTGGGGAGTGAGCCAGTGGATAGAAGACTTCTCTCTCTCTCTCTCTCTCTGCCTCTGTCTCTGTGTAACTTTGCCTTTCAAGGTAATTAATTAATTAATTAATTAAGAAAAGAAGTGAATTGGTGGATGGGAGGCAGAGGAGTGGTGGGAAATGGGGACAAGAACCTTTACTGAGGTTTGCACAGAAAGGAAGGAGGGAAGCCGGTAGGCATGTTTGGGATTGGCTGGTCTGGGTAATTCCAGTGGGCTCCAGGATTGAGAGGCTGTCCCTAGTGTCTGGAACCTGGGTGATGAGGGCAGGGGACAGTCTTCCAGACTGTGAAAACTCCACAAAGCGCATGGTTCGTCCGTGAGTCTGGATTGGTTGGTTTGTGCTTGAGAAGCTCACTAGTAGATGAGTTGTTTGCTATCTCCAGAAATTGGCTGGTCCAGGGAGAGACCATCCCTCCAGGGTCAACGAGGCCTCAGGTGTGAAAGCCTCAGAAATACAGAAAATGAAAGACATGGGTTGTCGCTCCCCCTCTTCGTGGAGGAACGACACTAAGCCCTGCCTAGGCTTCATATCCGAGTCACGGCACCATTATGCCTCCTAGGCTTCATATCCGAGTCACGGCACCATTATGTCGCTCCCCCTCTTCGTGGAGGAACGACACAGGACCCTGCGCTGTTCTTTTGTCTGCTCGGCCCTCCCCGGGTTTGCTGCTGGTTCTTCCTGGGTTGGCTACCGTCCCTTCCACCTCCGTGGAAGGGCGGTTCCCCCTGCCACTTTCCCCACTTCTGCGGGGGAGCGGCACACCGCCGGCCGGCTCTCTCGGGGGCTGCTCAGGTGTTCCTTCAGATAGATGTTCCCGGTGCATGTTGTCTCTCTTCTCCTTTATAGTCCTCTTCCACCAATCCCAACTCTGCTACCCACACGCCGAGTACGCTGCTCTCCTCCAATCAGGAGCAGGTCCTGCTGTTTATTGGTTGAACTGGAGGCAGCTGTGTAGAAGCTTGTGGGGAGCGGCTCGGACTGGACTGTTGCTGGAATTAAGACTTATTCTATGCACCTGCTCTCCCACAGTATGGCGCTGGGAGAGAAGAAAACAGCTTCTACACAGCTGCCTCCAGTTCAACCAATAAACTGTAGGACTTGCTCCTGATTGGAGGAGAGCGGCGTACTCGGCGTGTGGGCAGCCGAGTTGGGATTGGCAGAGGAGGACTATAAAGGAGGAGAGAGACGGCATGCACCAGGAACATCTAGGGGGAACATCTAAGGGGAACATCTAAGGGGAACACCTGTGCAGCATCCGAGAGAGCCGGCCGGCGGTGTGCTGCTCCCCTGCGGAAGTGAG